TCAGAGCAAAGATGAATGTTTATAGTACTAAACAATCCATTTGAACAATCGAGTCAATTATAAATTGTGTAAGTAGTTGCAGGCCCATAGCTAGCTTGTGCAATGGGGGTTCACTAAGATTCAAGGGGGGTCACATAACACAATCTTCGGCCCAAATAACTTGAAAAGTGCTCAAAAATGGGGAAAAACTGCATGATTTTGAAAGAATGTTTGGTCGAGGGGGTTCACTCTTACCCCCCCACACACACACACCCACACACACGCACCCACCTCACCCTACAGGTCTGAGCTGTATGTTTAGTGTGGCAACACATAGATAGCAAAACACAAATTGGTTATTTGTTGCATAAAATAATCACTTTATTTTCAAGTAGACTTTAAAATCTAATTCAATTCTACTTCATGTATGCACATTCATTACATTGTATAAGTGAAAGTGTATTCTAAAATGGCATTGCAGCCCATTAAAAAGGCACTGTCTTGTTTGGCAACAAACAGAACTGGTGAACACTGAAACAACAACTGCATTGAAGCATAAAGTAATCACTATGAAATAATACATAAAATTTCCACTACCAATTCCATGTGTACATCTGCGTAGAAAACCACTATAAAGCTGTGAATAAAATAAGGGAAGACATAATTTGAATAACAATGCACCATTCAAAGATTTGGGGAAGAAATGAGGAATTTGACAAAAATTCGGCTGTCAAATTCCCTACCCTGGGATCAACCTAGTGAGACAAATTCTTCCATTCTGACAGCAATGAAAGCTGGTCAAATTTCAAAAATCAAAATGCCCAGATCTCTTATGAACAAATGAATGGTGCATTAATAAATATTACGAATTAAAAAGTGTGATGGTTTGTCTAATTATTAACAAATGGGATTCATCAGACATGTCAGAGTCAACGAACAAAGTATTTCAGCTGTGTTTGTCAGATACTGTATTAGTCTTTAATTTGGCGCTACTTAATTTGCCGATTTTGGGATATCAGACATATTGGTGTTTATTTAACTGATGAATCACAGAAGTTCATATTATACATGTGTAGATAGATGCGTAGTGTTGACACATGTTCAGCTTGAAAAGGTTATGAAGATTTTTAACACAATCAAATAAATATTCATGAATAAAGGATTTAAGCACTGGACTCAATCCATTGTCTGCTGAATCATTCCACTAAAGATATTTTTAAATCTTTTGTTTGACTGTGTAGCAATGCCTGAGTGGAATGATTCAGCAACAATACATTGAATCAAGGGCTTTAATTCTTTTCACACATTGCAAAATTTTATATATCATTGAATAGATATTTCTAGATGACTGTTCCAGATTGTGTACATATTGAGTATTAACTTTCATTTCCTCATAGTTTATATTTTAAGATATTTTTTTAATTTGTTGAACCAGTTCAAAATACAGGAGGTGAGGGAGTGAATAGAACAGCCACCTTGAAATTATGAAATTGATGTAATCTAAAAATAGCAGGGTGCATTAGATATAATGCAATGCAGTTACATGAAATACTGTTTTCTCATTTGCTGGAATTCGACACAGCTTGCCTAGCTATTATATGTAAATATTCAGTAATAGGCATTCAATTGCTAACTCCTGCTTCATTAATATAATACACCCATTTAAGTGCATAGGAATGATAACCAAATATTGATCAACCTATCTTTAAAGATGATGAAGAGTTTAAGCTACTATATAAAATCGAAACGGCAATGTATATGTATAAATCACCCATATACAAATACATATAGCTTCCTCACTTAAATAGCCGTCTGGGCTTCAGTGTTTGTTTAGACTACATAACAGTATGAAACAAGGCATTAACATGACAAAATGTCACCACCTAGTTGCTCACAATATTATGAGTTCAAACTTAAGTCAGATTTGAATTTCTGAGAACTTGTAAAGTCAAATTTGAACTTCTGAAAAGATGTAGATGATTTTGAAAAAAAAAATTTGGTCAATTTGAAGCAAGTTGAAAACAGACCTTTTTGACCTTTTTTGACCTTGAGAAGGTCATTAAAGGTCAAATGTCAAATCTAAAGTCAGATTTGAATTTCTGAGAACATGTAGATGATTTTGAAAAAAAAAATTAGTCAATTTGAAGCAAGTTGAAAAAAGACCTTTTTGACCTTTTTTGACCTTGAGAAGGTCATTGAAGGTCAAATGTCAAATCTAAAGTCAAATCTAAAGTCATATTTGAATTTCTGAGAACAGGTAGATGATTTTGAAAAAAAATTTAGTCAATTTGAAGCAAGATGAAAAATAACTTTTTGACCTTTTTTTACATTGAGAAGGTCATTGAAGGTCAAATGTCAAATCTAAAGTCAGATTTGAATTTCTGAGAACATGTAGATGATTTTGAAAAAAACATTTAGTCAATTTGAAGCAAGTTGAAAAAAGACCTTTTTGACCTTTTTTGACTTTGAGAAGGTCATTGAAGGTCAAATGTCAAATCTTAAGTGAAATCTAAAGTCAGATTTGAATTTCTGAGAACAAGTAGATGATTTTGAAAAATTTTTTTAGTCAATTTGAAGCAAGTTGAAAACAGACCTTTTTGACCTTTTTTGACCTTGAGAAGGTCATTGAAGGTCAAATGTCAAATCTAAGGTCAGATTTGAATTTCTGAGAACATGTAGATGATTTTGAAAAAAAAATTTAGTCAATTTGAAGCAAGTTGAAAAAAGACCTTTTTGACCTTTTTTGACTTTGAGAAGGTCATTGAAGGTCAAATGTCAAATCTTAAGTGAAATCTAAAGTCAGATTTGAATTTCTGAGAACACGTAGATGATTTTGAAAAAATTTTTTAGTCAATTTGAAGCAAGTTGAAAACAGACCTTTTTGACCTTTTTTGACCTTGAGAAGGTCATTGAAGGTCAAATGTCAAATCTTAAGTCAAATCTTAAGTCAAATTTGAATTTCTGAGAACACGTAGATGATTTTGAAAAAAAAATTTAGTCAATTTGAAGCAAGTTGAAAACAGACCTTTTTGACCTTTTTTGACCTTGAGAAGGTCATTGAAGGTCAAATGTCAAATCTAAAGTCAGATTTGAATTTCTGAGAACATGTAGATGATTTTGAAAAAAAAATTTAGTCAATTTGAAGCAAGTTGAAAAAAGACCTTTTTGACCTTTTTTGACTTTGAGAAGGTCATTGAAGGTCAAATGTCAAATCTTAAGTGAAATCTAAAGTCAGAATTGAATTTCTGAGAACACGTAGATGATTTTGAAAATTTTTTTTAGTCAATTTGAAGCAAGTTGAAAACAGACCTTTTTGACCTTTTTTGACCTTGAGAAGGTCATTGAAGGTCAAATGTCAAATCTTAAGTCAAATCTTAAGTCAGATTTGAATTTCTGAGAACACGTAGATGATTTTGAAAAAAAAATTTAGTCAATTTGAAGCAAGTTGAAAACAGACCTTTTTAACCTTTTTTGACCTTGAGAAGGTCATTGAAGGTCAAATGTCAAATCTAAAGTCAGATTTGAAGGTCAAATGTCAAATCTAAAGTCAGATTTGAATTTCTGAGAATTTGTAGATGATTTTAAAAAAAAATTTAGTAAATGTGAAGCAAGTTGAAAAAAGACCTTTTTGACCTTAAGAAGGTCATTGAAGGTCAAATGTGAAATCTAAAGTCAGATTTGAACTTCTGAGAACATGTAGACGATTTAGAAAAAAATTGAAGTCAGTCTAAACAGTATTTGTTAAGTTATAGGAAGTTGTAAGAAATTGTTACAGACGCCGGACGCCAACCGCCGGACGCCAACCGCCGGACGCCGTCGCAAAAAAACGGAGACCATAACAATATGTCACCACTTTTGGTGGTGACATAAATACCATGTAATACACCATTGGTAACTCTATAGCTGGTTTTCTGATACATATTTTACTCAAGCTCGTTTGGTTATTTAGTCAGAGCTAAAACATGCATGACATACATCATCTTCTTCAGAAAGAATTCTACTTTGTATCGAAATCAAAATTACCAGCATAGTATGACAATAGAAACAAGTATAATGATTCCCGTTGATTTGGAATTTCGCGTTCTAAAGACGAAACTCTGAAACTGTACGGGTATCTGAGGTACATTAGTGATTGTTTTGTATACACGCTATACATTACTATACTGATTCATGTACTTTCCATTCATGGTTACGTTGTGAAAAACATTGCAAGCTTTAACTCTCCAATATTATTAATTAACTTTTATTTGCAAGTCTCCTCTTTTGCTGTTAAATGAGGAAATCAGAGAGTAGCACAAAAATACTTCTCCATGATTCCCCTTTATAATACTGAGGCACATACTACTATACAATGTTAAATATGAGGTAATAGAGATAAAACATGATAATATTTTACTTTTAAGCTCACAAAGTACAGCAATCTTGTATAAAATATTTTATAATGGAATAATCACACATGGAATATGAACTGTTATATGATATGCAACATTAAACATTGAGCAATAGTTTTCGTTGAGTAAAAGGCTGTTTCATCTAAATTTCTTAAATTTTTTAAAATAAGGGTCTATGTATGGACAAGTAAAACTGAATATATGTACATATACAGAACACAATGTATTGTGAAACTTCTGAGAAGACCCCTTGGTGGTCTATACTGGAGCACAAGACTTAATATTCTTTTTAACATATTAGAAGTGTAAAATGACCTTTACTCTTTAATTTATTGCAACCCAAGGTTAACATGGTGCTAATCTACAATCTGGCAAGTTTTGTCATTGCTAGCATATACCTTAATACATAATTCAACTGACAATTGGCTATGTCCTCATCAAATGATTGAAAATCAGGAAACCATAATTTTATAAATATTGATTCCAAAATACCCGTTTCACAATAATATCACCAGTCTAAAAATGAGACCACAAAGAACATTTTCACACACTCAGCAGTCTACTTCATTTTAAAAATATGAAGCTGATATCTGATAAGACGTTTCCTAGTCTTTCTAGAAGCAAAACACAACTAAAATGGTCCATTTATATAAGACATTCCCTCCTCATTGTCCAGGAACTTGATGATGTCATAATAGACCTCCTGCGGTGCGTCCATTCCCCATATGAAGTCAAGATGATTCCATTTCTCCAGTTCCCTCACATATCTCACAGTTTGATGAATATCATCAAGAAGTATCTGGACATCCTGGAATGAAAAAATACCATTGTATCAATATTTATTTCATGGAAATAATCGAAAATTTCCTGAAATGTATCTCGTTGAGGTAGAGGATGTTGCTATGGTGAAGTTGTGAAAGAATTGTTATTGTAATTTATAATATTTATAATATAGCAAAAAAAATGAAACAAAGAACTATAAGGATTCCTTTTTCAATGTTTATAAAAAATTGAAAGCTCTCACCCTCTCCCTTCTTATTTTAGCAAGCACGTAACGTAACGTATGTAAATCAATATTTGTACAGAATATTCCATTATTATTTCCAGTTCTCAAAAGCACAACTTGGCTTTCCAAAAATGTTTAAACATTACTCACGGGGTACCATCGAATAATTTTGGCAACGTACCGGAGAACGACATTTTACTAAGAAATGGCAATAATTTAGCACAATATATATTTTAACTAGAGTTCTACTTTGATTTTGACAAAAGTAAGTATTCCATGCAATGGCTATTTCATTCATGAGTTTGTAGGAATTCTGTTGGAACCCAGTTCTGATCAAGTACGAAGTTATTGAAATCGGCGCAGTCGGACTTTACTCCGAAAGATGGTTTTTCGATTATAACTTTTTACAACAGTAAAAGTATAGACTTTTGAAAAAAGTACAGAATAGTCCTTATACTATTGAATAATTCTGTTATTTCTGATTCACACGACTCTGAATTGTTTAATTAACAAAAAAGTTTTAAAAATATTACTTAGGAACGTAACCGGAGCTGGGAACGTAACCGGAGCAGATCAGTTGAATTATATAATTTAAAAAAATAAAATATATGATTTAAAGCATATATATTAATAAATACGCATTCGAATAATCCCGTATGTTTTTAAATTAGTATATGTGCTTTAAATCATATATTTTAAATTTTTTGATTAAATAATTCAACTGATCTGCTCCGGTTACGTTTCCAGGTCCGGTTGCGTTCCTAAGTAATATTTTTAAAACTTTTTTTTTTAATTAAACAAATCAGAGTCGTGTGAATCAGAAATAACAGAATTATTCAAAAGTATAAGGACTATTCTGTACTTTTTTCAAAAGTTTATACTTAAATGTTGTGAAAAGTTATAATCGAAAAACCATCTTTCGGAGAAAAGTCCGTCTGCGCCGATTTCAATAACTTCGTACTTGATCAGAACTGGGTTCCAACAGAATTCCTACAAACTCATGAATGAAATAGTTATTGCATGGAATACTTACTTCTGTCAAAATCAAAATAGAACTCTAGTTAAAAAATATATTGTGCTAAATTATTGCCATTTCTTAGTAAAATGTCGTTCTCCGGTACGTTGCCAAAATTATTCGATGGTACCCCGTGTTACTACAGTGAAATCATATTCTCAACAATATGCATTATTTGAAGTGCTTATCATGATTTATCTTTTATTTCAAATTCAATACACTCTTCCTCATATAATGGAGAAGGACTTTAGCTTAAATACTTCATTAATTTAAATTTACTTGTGGATCTGCCAGCCAGTCATTGTTAGAATACCATATATATGTGGGTACATTGAGCTTTGAGGCATCATAAACGGGGGGTGAATCCTGCAATATCAAATGCGAAATAATAACACATGGTTGCTTATACATGTAGTTTCGTTTGAACACACAGATTCAAAAAATTAAACTTAATGATGTGAACTTGAATATATAATGAGATAAACATGAGAAATGCTTGTTTATCATGTTTTTATTCAAAGAAAATTGGTGCTTTTGTCTAGTTGGTGTTAAGTTTTATGATTTCACAGTGAATTATCAGATTTAATGTTTCTGTTGGACCAAAATACAAGTGAAACACCATTCTTAGATTCTCAGTCCTGTAACTCATTAACATAACTGAATTAAACTTGCATAAGTGTAACACCTCCTAAATGGAACACTTTGTGGAACAAAGGGTGTTCCATTTACACATGTTTAAGTATAATAACAGACAGAATGAACTAGTATAGGGTGTTAGGCCATAGGAAACAAAATTCTTCATATTACTCACCTGATGGTAATGTTTCTGGTTTTCCTTGACAGACATGTAGTCATACTTCTGGAAAAGGCCTGACCTGACCATCTGAAATACATATACGAGCATTAAAGCAATCAACCAAAATGTGTACTTTTAGACTTTTTCATTTATAGGATTTTTAGAAGTCTTTAACATAGATTATTTTCAATTGAATGGCTTCATATATTTTATTTAAATGGATTTCCTCATTAATTGGCTTCTTCAATGACCACCTGTTTGAATTCCCTCCTAATAAATGCCCATGGACCTTATTTTGAGAGCAATCCATGATTATGACCTAATGAGTGTTTCTATATCTAAAATTTAAATTGAATAGCTCTTGGTATAGCTATGGGTGTGAATCAAATTCATGCACATAATACACCAAAATAATTTTACAGAAACAGCCCCAAAAGCTAAAGAAGTTGTCGTGAGGATGCACCTTTTCACTGAAAACGGATAATATCCATTTTTGAATGAACTTTTGAAAATTGTGAAAATTCAGTTTACAAATTAATCAGCTTTATGATGAATTTTTTTATAATGTTTCTTCTGTGTTGTCTTGCAAAACACATATTATATCCCTCTTTAAACTTAAAGTATCAAGCTCTCAAAACAGCCTTGTCAAACTACAAGTACATGCATACCTGAGCATAGTGAACCATGTTCTGAACACTGGTACCCGCAGGTGTATGGCTCAGATAGACAGGCAACCGAGTCATGTTGAGTTGCTGGGAGTCAAAGCCACATATGATAAACAGGAAACTACTGCAGAAGATCTCAGTTTCCCTTGTACACACTTTGGATGCTAGGAAGTGCATCAGTTCATTACTTGGAAGGAAATCTTTTACACCAAGTAAGTAGAATAATTCCTGAAATGCAATATCAATTTCAGAATAATTCCTGAAATGTAAAATCAATTTCAGAATAATTCCTGAAATGCAATATTAATTTCAGAATAATTCCTGAAATGCAATATCAATTTCAGAATAATTCCTGAAATGTAAAATCAATTTCAGAATAATTCATGAAATGCAATATCAATTTCAGAATAATTCCTGAAATGCAATATCAATTTCAGAATAATTCCTGAAATGTATAATCAATATCAGGTTGATGCATCATATAGTTTAGATCCCTCACTTGATTTAAACTTTGTTTATGTCTTTTTGAGAAACAAAAACAAATAAACATGTACTAATGCAAAATGCCCTAAGCTATAATTCCCATTATCTATTCATTCATTCATCCTTAAAACACAACAAGAAAAGAACATTACAGAGGATTTCTTGGCATTTTTGAACAATATTTCTACATTTCATTTATCTAAGTGATGCAACTATTCAGAAACAATCAAAATTGATAATTAACTACTAGTATAGTAATTGAGGAAAATTGAGAGAATTATTCACATCTTGAGATATACCAAGATATTATGTTCCACCCCTATCCCAACTAAGGATAACTCACCTTTATTTCAGGATAAATATATGAGAAGTATCTCAACACACTTTTCATGTTGCTGAGATATGCAACTGGTGCTAATGCTGTGAAACTCTTTACCTTCGAGTAAATAAATATACATTTTAAATATGTCATTTACTACTAATAAAAATGCACTTGGAAAGGGCAAGGGGTGGTATTAAAGAAAATAAAGGCCATGGTACAATTTGTTGATGTTGTCTTGTTTTTAAAGCAGTCCTAGTTTGTGCATGTTAAATCAATCCACATGTATCCCCTTTCTTCATGGATTTTAAAATTACAGTATACACATGTATCTACAGACAATGATGAATATGAACTTTAAATAGTTTCCAAACTTTATTTAACATCTTATTCCATAAACAGTAATTACCTTTTGAGCAGTGGTTTGATTGGACGAAAATTGAGCAAAGGCAATCATGGTACCCTGTGAATGTCCTACATAATGTAATTGTTTCTGGCCTGTGTGGTCCAGGATAAAATCTATAGTAGCTGGCAAGTCAAGCTCTCCCATTTGGTCCCAACTACAAAATACATACAGGAAAATATATACATTTTGTGATGAATACGCATTGTAAATATTAGGATTCTCTTGTTTACAACAACAGTAACTTGTGTGATGTAGATGACACTGAAACACAATAGGTAATATAAATGTACCATTATCATAGTCATAGGTGAAAATAATAATGAATGTGTGTATGGAATTTGTAGCTTAAGCCTCTCCAGCCTATACACCTAAAAATAACCCCATCTAAACAATATCTACATTTCCTGATTATTTTAGAATCAAACTTCTGGAGATTGCCATGTACATTATTTTTATTTATATGTACATTATACTTAAGATCATAAAGAATCATTCCAATGGAATTGTGACGAGTACTAGCACGAACATAGCCAGGATCTGAAATTGGACGAGGCAAAAAATTGGTGAATATTTAGGGTATAACTTCACTGACCTCCAAGCCCAGAATTCTGCCTGATCAGGAGTATATTTGACATGCTTTCGTGAATATGTGTTACCCCTAGAGTTTCCCAGCCATACGTCATAGCCAGCGTCAGCCAATAAGAAACCTAGAATGTTCAACAGTAACTATTTCAGCAAACAGTGAATGACGTACATATTTTGTGTTTGGAATATCTGCTTATGAACAAGGCTTTTTAATTTTGATGTTTTTGTAACTGAATGCAGTTAAATTTGAGGTTTTCACATCTTAACTTGTTAAAAGTATTTTATGAGGAACAATGAGGCTCAGTTTTCATTTCTAAAGGTTAAATGTAAATGAACATGGAACTCAACAGGAGTAAATAGAGTTACTTTTAAATAACGTCATCATGTTGATTGAATCCTCAAATCTCAATAAGATTGTGACTACCAGTGCAAAGTATTACTTGGAGCATTAGAACTTCTGATTTATTCAGAAAACATTTTATAATGAGGTTGACTAAAGATTTTTAAAAAATCACATAAATGTCTGATGTTTTCTAACTTTACTAAGCAACTCAAAAATTTATTTTTTTAAAAATTCTATTTCACTTGTGTAGCCATATTTTACTTGAGTAATCGTATTTCAATTTTAATCACTCAAAGTCAAACAGCACTCAGTAACCTGATAATTTGCACTACTAAAGGCACACTGAATTATATACGAGTATTTACTAATCAGCTGTTTCTAATAGATGGCATAAGATAAATGCAATGCAAACATTAACACCATAGTCTTGTAACTAATTCATCAAGCATTATATTGGTTTACAATGATCATGTCAATAATCAATCGGAAGAAATTATGAAAAAGTGTCTCATATCACAATGAATATTTGGTGATTTTTCCGAAGTAGATGCAAATTCTTAATTTCACAATTTAGACCAAATTAGGTCAAAATATGCCATTTCTCATGATCGAATAGGTGCAAATGGATTCTCAGGTTGGTGCAAGTCTCATTAAAATTTCAAGGGAGTGCAGTGCCTACTTGTTTTCATGCTGGGGAGTTCATTGATTCACGTATGATTATTTGAGATGCTTATGTTATAGATACAGCCGCCTTAAGAGATGCTCATATTACTTCCTTTAATACAAACTACTATATTGTACATTTTGTTGAAGTGTTCCTTACTTGGTTATATGATCCTATTCAAGAATACAGTTGATTAAATACAGTAATTTGATATAAAGGATCAATGTTGTGTTATATTTAACCAAAAGTAAAATACTATTTAACAGTGATGAATGGTGGCAGTTCACAAAACATGGTTAGATCTGAGATCACCTACCCAAGCTCTCGTTTGCCAAGTTAGCAATCCAATTGGTAGATGAGCACAAAAGACCATGTTGTAAAAGGACAACAGGCCTGGAATGATGCTGGGACATTTCCTCCTCAGACCTTGAATACTGGTCCCTAGTTTTCCTGCCATGTGGTATTCGTTGAACTCCTAATAAGAAACCATCATCAGTTTGTACAGTGTATTCCTCACAGGGATATCCTTTACTTAATATCAACTCTGACTGAAACACAATAAAAAGAATGTTCCATTAATACAAATCCAATAGCTCAAATGTTCGTGAAAACAGTCAATATAATACCAGGCTGTGTAAGACATGTACTTTGATTAGAATCTAGACCATTTTTTAAAAACACATTAACATGGAAAATGTCACCACCTGCCATTTTTATAGATACATGCAGTGATCTCCCAAACATTAAAGCAAGTGGGTGGCACCCACCTGAGATTTTAAAAACAGGGTTCTATCCACCTGAAAATTCATTTGCATCCACTTGAAAACGGGAAAAATCATGAAAGATTGGCATATTTTGACCAATATCGGTATAAAATTAAAACTTGAAAATGAACCACTGAATACTGAAAACCATTCATATCACAAAAAAGTTGGAGACTTTAACAATATGTCACCACTTGTGGTCAGTGGTGACATAATAAAACATGTCATAGTGAATGCCTCTCTCTCAGGTAAACTCTTGTTTTTTTATGAACACAGTTGACGGGTATTTCAATATGGCTTTAGCCTCCAACTCATCTAATATCCAACTCACATCACATAATAACAATGTTATTCTGCAATAGTTGAAATTTGGACAGCATCCTTTACATGGTTGAAAAAACAGTATGTTACCTATTTAATGAATATAACTGCCTTGTCATCATATTTCAGTAAAACTATATTCTATTAATATTAGTAGAATATAGTTTTACTGAAATATGATAACAAAGCAGTTACCTTTTTCTGTTACACTAGTAAGTAGCATCTTATTAACAACTAATATCACTACCTTGCGAGATCTGTCATCTCGAGGTATTAGTACTACTTTAGAAGGCCGATACTCTCCTGACAAAATTTCACTCTGTTGCCCTTTGAAATTAGATTATTGGTATATTATCATCTCAGAGGTTTTTACAATATAACATAATAAAAAATCAGCCTTAAAAATATCCAATGGCTTTACTTTTTCATGCATAGGCCAGGCCCGTAGCCAGGGGGGTTCGGGCAAAATTTCTTTCAAAATCATGCAGTTTTTCACCATTCTGACTATTTTTTGAGTGATTTTTGGCCAAATTTGCCAAAATGACCCCCCCCCCTAGAATTTTTTGGAAGAGTGAACCCCCCTTGGAGAATTCTGGCGACAGGAGTGTGGTATCGGATAAAACAGATGTCAAAATATAAGATACACATTTATAAGGATTGTAAAAAGGAAGTTTCCATCCAAAAGTACAAATACAATGAGACCAAAGAGATAACACAATAAACATACAATTTGTGCCTTGTCTTTGAGACCTAATTTTTTGTGCAGCCTTATCAAGCTGACATGCTCGTTGTCTCAAAAGGCTTTATAATCACAATAGTCACATAAAACGAAAACATATGTACATTTATTGATATGTATGTCATTTGTACCATTTATTGAAAAGTTCAAAACAACACCTACCGTATTCTCTCTAAAAGGCACATAGCACCCTCCAAAAATTAACATGGAAAATAGCAAAATATTGAGAAATTCTAAAGACTGCATGCCATATGCAACAAATACCATTTTCAACTTCTTACTTCATGTGTAGTTGTTATCACTATACTATAAAAATATTCTGTGGCTCCCATATCACTTTCTCTGCATCAAATGTAATCAAAATGCTTGCTATAAAAGGAGTAAATCGTGTTTGTTGTCAATTTTCAATTCTACTGTAGTTGTCATATATCACATGTATACTCTTTAGTGATATGCGCTCTTTAGAGAGAACACAGTATCCTGGGATTTTATTTCAAAGTAATAAGCAATTTTGTTTGAAAAATTATGCATTTTGAAACATTTGGACATTTTTGTATGACTTATTCTATATAGTATATTGCAATAATACAAGTGCATAAAAAAAGCAAATATGAATGTGTCAAAAAATATTCCAATTCCAAGTGAATGTCCAGGGGTATATAACTCAAAATAAGGCCCTATGAAAAAGAGGAAGAATCAGAGAAAACCAACACAAGCGTATGTATTATAACATGTACAGTCTTATATTGGAATTGCAAGACTAGATAATTATTCAGCAGCAAGCAATAAAATAAAAATTACATTGAATAATTGACTTGAACTTTATAAGTATACCTGCTCTACATATCACTTAATAATGAACCCATGAAAATATTTGGAAAATTATATAATATCACTCTCATGTAAGCCAACTGATCTATCCATTCAAAAATGAAGTATAACCAGCTTTTGTGAGAATGAAAACATCTAGTTTTTTCCACAAGTTCTCTTATAACCACATTATGTAATTTAAAGAATCAATTCAATATATCAAAGTGACTTATAGTCTTTGCATAATTTTAGTTCATTGGGATAAGAGGACATGACTGATTTGTGACTTACAATATGTAAAGGAAAGATTTGTAGCAACTTTTTAAATATTGTCACAATCTAATGGTGCAAAGTATAGTATGGATATTGATCACATTTCCAATTTGGCATCCACTTATTTATATTTGAAGGTTGGATACAAAAGCAATGAAAATAGGTATATTAGAAATGTTTATATCAAGATCAATCAATTTCCTGACACTACATATTTGAAATCTGACTGAACTGATGTGATCGTGATGTGATAAATATTGCAAGAGCAAGGCCCCATGTAATTTACCCAGCAAGCCTAAAGCCTAATCAGATGGTGGCACTAGAGGTCTGCACTTGCACCTGGAAAATTTCAAGTTGAACTTATAAAAGTGGAACGGATAGAATTTTGAAGAAAATATTTATGTGGTACCTACCCGAATGCATGTGTGTCCATCAACACAAGATAACATAACACTTTTCAAAATGCAATAAAATCCTGAAAAGATCACTTTAAAGTGATTGAAAATGATACAACAATACAACAATAGACATCTAAAGACACGATGTACTTACAGCATTCATATGAACTTCTGGATCTAGAGCATCATTTGACTCTGCATTTGTATTTGTCCCAAAGATAGCTTGTCCAGCATAGTTAAACTGTTTCCATATTTCTTGTAGGTCTACTTCATTGACCATTTCCTCTAGGAATTCATGTGTCTTTTTAATGGTACTTTTCAGTCCCTTCTTCCCATGTTTAAACGCCTCCCCATCATTTTTGTTATTTTGAATTTTCTTAGCAATGGCATCTATTTTAAATGCATCTTTCACATCATCAATTGATTCCATTACATCTTTTTGGATTTGATTAAATTCCTTAATTTTATCAACACTCTTCATTGTTTTCTTGATTCCATTTGCAATGTTCTTAATTGTATCATCCTTTTTGTCCCAAATATCGTCAAAAAGTTTTCCAACATTTTGGAAGGTGTATACGCTTGAAGGAAAAATACCAACATTTAAAATGGCAATCAAAATACACAGTTGAAGACAGTTTTTACCCATTTTCTTCCAAGCAGTGTCCGTTAATGCGTGGATATGTTGATCATTGATGTTGATGATTCTATCCTCATTTTGGTAGACTTAGTATCAGAATGTTGGCCAGGAAGATAACAGTGGAACTTTGGCCTCATGAAGGACTCTATTTGATTGATAAGTCTGAACTCAGATGAATGCCACTCAAGTAGCCTGGTGTTATGGCTATGTGTCGAATGTATGTCCCCATTTGCTCTGGGTTCACTTTTGTTTTCTCAACTCATGATTGTGACTAAGCTACAGTGTAGGTCAAAGCACATGCTATCTATTGCAAGACTTACGCCTGCCACAACCGTCACAATGTTAATAAGTGTTTTTAAGTAGCGCAAGGATCCTGCCATGACCGTGGTAGTGTTATTGTGTAAGCCTGGTATAACCGTGACAGGCTGGTATAACCGTGACAATGCTGTATTATATTGCAAGGCCTGTCATGACCCTGGAAGTGTTATCGTGGAAGCCTGGCGCGACCGTAGCCTTTATTGTGGTTTATAAGCGAATGTGAATATTAATGAATAGTAGTAATTTTGATTTTGACATGATTAAGGTAGTTAAACACCATGATCATAGTATTAAACTGTTTAGTTGAAATGCGGATCACATAAAATTGTTAAGGATATTCCTGGCATTATGTCATACATATTTACTAGTCATTGCAATACAATATAACGGTCATAGTAGGACTAAGCCTAAATTTCTACATTACCACCCTCATACCTGGCCTTGCAATACTATATTACATTGTCACGGTCATACCAGGCTTTGCGATCCCATAATACATTGCCACGGTCATGCCAGGTTTTCAAAAACACATTGTCATGGTCACTTATAGCAAATCATAAATTTCTATATTACCACTCTCATACCCGAACTTAGAATATTATATCACATTGCCACGGCGGTCATACCAAGCCTTGCAATACTATATTACATTGTCACGGCCATGTCAGGCCTTGCAGTACTATATTACATTGCCACGGTCATGCCAGGCCTTGCAATACACATTGTCACGGTTATAGCAGTCCTAATCGTAAATTTCTACATTACCACTCTCATACCTGAACTTGCAATACTATATTACATTGTCACGGTCATGCCAGCGCCTTGCAGTACTATATTACATTGTCACGGTCATACCGAGCCTTGTAGAACTATATTACATTATCACGGTCATGGCAGGCATTGCAATATAATACAGCATCGTCGCGGTTATACCAGGCTTTCACGATAACATTACCACGGTCATGGCAGGATCCTTGCGCTACTTAAAAAACACTGAATAACATGATGACGGTTACGCCAGGCGTTAGTCTTGCAACAGATACGGTCTCGGTCAAAGGTCATGTTTACATATTTGTAAAGCACATTTTGCATGCTTGAAACATCCTCAAAAGACCAACCTGAAATATAAATTGACATAAATATTAAAAGCAAATATACTTTTGTCTGGTGGAATGGTAAACGACGCCTGGAATGTCTTACTAGATTCTTGGAAAAATTATTCAAATTTTCATCGATTTCAGAAAAGTAGGTCAAATTGCAGAACTCACAAACAATCTGATTCAATGGTCATAATGGTCTTTTATTCATATTTGACAATTTTGTAAGTAGCAAAAGAATCTTATCAATAACATAAATATCAAAATAACAAAGTTTAACCTACCAAAATCATTAAATAACTATAATTGTATGCAGGAATTTACGCCAAAGTAATTAACATGGAGGCGGCCATCTTGTTCAATCTCCCGGGATCAATGAGCAATTGAGCCTACCCCTATAGGACGCTATTGCCATTCGGCATGTTCATTATGTTTTTTGTTACGAATTTACCGTAGTTTTATGCAGTATGGTCCTTTCTATGACCAAAGAAATATTGAATTTCTGCTGATAACTGAAAAACCCCTGCACAGGATGATAGCTAAGGCTTCGCGCTATCATGTAAGTGCGGCAAAGTTGTGATCTAAGCGTGTATTGAGAAGTAATAGCGGCTTGAACAGAGTGGTATTTTCAGGAGCAATCTCGCGAAGTGAGCGAAACATTGTGGATAATTTCCTTTATTTTGCCTGCCCGATGTGGGTAGATGAGTGAATGTGTATGGACATCGGGTAACTGGAAGCGATAAGTACTTACTATAGATAGCGTTTATAGGATTAGCACGGCTACAAATCAACGGAAAGATGGCAAAATACTTGAACAAAGACCTACACTCATATCAGAAAGAAGTAAAGAGTTTCTTGGCCAACTTGGCAGAATTTCACGAAAGAAGAAGGTAAAATATCGTCAATTCTTACCACTTTTGCGCCACTTTACCAATCATATAAAAGAATTCTTTCAAGATTAATACATATTTTAACATCTTCTATATGTTTTAGGACACCTTACAAGCGAATACCATGGATAGGAGGTCGCGAAGTGGACCTATGCCTGCTCTACACAAAAGTGACTGAAATGGGCGGCTGGCTGAAGGTTTGTATTGAAAGTTATCCCACTTTGAATTTACCTCCAAATTTGCCGTTCATTAGTGTCACATCAGCGTATCGTACGCTGATTATTACACCCTCGCTGAAGTTCAATGATTATTGGCGTAATATTTAAAGGTATTGAAGTTGTATTTAGCATAAATAGGAGAGGAATTTACCAACATAAAATCCAGGAACCATTTTGTTTAGGATGACCTACAAAACCTGAGATAGAAATTGGTCCATTCTTCAATTATGTTTTGCTATTTCTATTGACTTGCAGTGCATTTATCACATGTGCTGTATAGTAGCTTTATTGAATGCTATAATCTTAGTGGTTTGTTTACGTTTGGGTAATAACAAGTGTACAATGCAGTATCTTATATTGGGCCAAATTCGATGGTGTTTCGAATGCTGACTTGGATTCATAGATTCAAGTTTTCTGGTTTTGACTTGTAGTCTCATACACATTATGGCACGAGAGATGGAGAATAATCTTGACGAATTCTAGACAATATTATTTGTCAACAGATGCAATATAAGATGGTGATGATGTGTGATATGACGTTTTTATTTTGTCCAGACTTGAGATAATTGATGATAAAGAGAAACTATGTGATGACGGTCCAAATATTTAGAAGTAATAATCACTTACCAGTTTGGGTTAGCGGAACCCCCAGTTGTAATGCACGACTCTTCCAAGCCAAAATTGTTCTATCCATCAAGAGTCTTGGAGTTTCAGGAGATTCATACTAGTGTTGTCGCTATGTGCCGTATATCGATGCATCGGCAATTTTCAGTAGTAAACATCGATGCACATCGCGATGTACATCGAGAAAAAGTCCGAGAAAAGTGCACTTATTTCAAGTTTACATATTATCTTCTGTAACACAAGCCAATAATTCTGATAATTGAAAGCGGAATGAATGCATTTAGTACTTTTTAGGTTCATTTGACTATCTGATAGATGTTTTCTATGCAAGATTTTTGATGTAGGTTTTTAGTGTCACATGCTCCGTTTGTGATTAATAGTAGAATGCTGGGAAATGCACCTTTTTGAAACATACCATTTACATATTACAAATTGCCTTTTGCTTCCCATTCAAGTTTAGTAAGCTAATCATATATGTGTTATTCTCTTTTAATTTCCATATATCTCAGTGGTATAATTCTATAATCTGGTTTAAGTATGTATTGTTTTATAATCATTCTTTGCAGCTGTTTAATATCAACATGATATTTGATATAAGTACGTAGTTGACTATTATCTTTATACAACTGTCACTGTAACACATCACTCTGAGCTGCCATAGGACTTCAAACTTAGCCTGTTGTTCATGTTAAACTAGTGGTCTAAGGATTTGTATTTTTCTATTGTTAACATCATTCGGACACTCAAAATTTGTCAAATAAAAGGACCATTTTGAAATATTCAAGTCCAGTTTTAGAAAAAAGTTAACATGGCTAGTCAGATATATATTGTTATTGATTTGATCTTGGGTATAGTCTGGCTTTCCACCCTTTTAGTTCGTTCAAGTGAGAGAGACCAAGAGGAATGATTTTGGGTGCAAAGCTGAATGTTAACAACGATTTCTTTTTCGAAGAATAATTTTTACTTTTAACATGGTAAGAAGGTGTCGAAATGTGCCAATGAAACTACAGGAAGTAGTGTATGAAGAAAAGGTAGCAGAATAGAGATGTTCTAAGAAGTGTTCTTGGTAATTGTCAGTGCAAGAGAATTAGATCATTGTAATACAAATACAAACTATGTAATACAAAATATGATATTGGACCTACCCAACACATACTAGTGTTGTCGCGATTAATCGATACATCGCGATATACATCGCCAAAGCTGATTCTGGCGATGCATCTATGTCTGAAACAAAACATCGATGTTTTTGAAAAAAATTAATTTGCTAAAAATCACCCTTTCTTATTTCATTTTGACGCAAATCGCTTACCTTTCTCATGTCTTATTTCATTTTCCAATGCTTTCTGATATTCTTTCGCTTAAAACTGTTTTAGCTAGACGAAATGAACCATTAATCAAAAAAATTACTCTACTTTCATTTTACCGTGACTGGAAGTTCCCGGATGAACCAGCGTACTCTTATTAATTTGTTCTGTTCGGTATTTTAGTGCATTAGCGATCGGTATTTCAGTGCACTTTTCTCGGACTTTATCTTGATGTACATCGCGGTGTGCATCGATGTTTAATACTGAAAATTGCTGATGCATCGATGTACGATTATGGCACATCGCGACAACACTAACACATACAGTAGCTTTTATACAGTTGCAGGATATTTGATATCAGAATCTGACAGAGTGGGGTTCAGATAAATGAACTTTGGATACCTATCAATTTACTTGTAGCTTTCTGCTTATAAAATGAGTTTTATGAGAAATAATAGTAGCTTGGTCCCGAATCACTGTTCAGTGTGGATTACCCAGAATATTGGTCCCCTTTCCCACTGATTTGACATAAGATTTACCTACTGAATGTTATATATGTGATACTTTGTGCAAAACTTAAGGTTTGTTGTTGAAATTCATATTCCGAGGGTTTTGTTAGAACTCTTTGCAACTAATAACTGATGGGTGATGCAAGAGGTCTCGTAATAATATAATAATTAGATGTTAAAATGCTTTGGGTTGTCATGTCAATTAGAATCAGATGATTTGACATTTATAACAGGGAGTGATTATGAAAATGTCATTGTGAACATGGTTTGGGTTACAAACTTGCTTTCAGACAAGTATTTCTTATCTTGGATATACATATTATGATCAAGTTATCAACAATTTTATTTTTATTTCTTATACAGGTGAATGAAGCAGAGAAATGGGATGAGATACAGGAGTATTTTAACCTGCCAAAAGGCACTGTGAATGCTGGAGAGGCTTTAAAACAGATTTATATCAGGTAAGACACATGCTTTTGCAAGTAAACGTGCATACATAAATCCATGTTGACTTTGTAATACCTCAAAAGCAACCTCTATTCCATTGTAAAATGTTTGGTGGGAATGTTACCAGCCCTATCATTATGAGAGTGATGTTTTTTTATTGTCTAAATGCAGCATGAACGGAGCTCTGCCAAAGTTGGCTTTGTGGCAGTTAAATGAATGATCTTGTGTTGCATTACACATTACACGTGTATGAGATAGAGGCTTCTCTTACTGATATTTTTTATTTTCATTTTTGAGATAACCTCTCTGTCATGAATTGACCATGCCAATTTCAGTGGCTGCTCTTTTTCTTCAGGAACCTTCAATATACATAAGAGTATTAATTAAGTTTGTACTTGTAGTGGCCAATTTCTCAAAACCCCAAATTGTATATATTGGAGACTCGTTTCTCACGCAGCTACTTGTAAAGCCTTGCAGCTCTTATATTGTAATGACACCAAGAAAAACTAATTGACTGGTTAAAATACTACTTGAGGAAATAAACTCAGAACTCAACATTTTATTTAGACAGGATTTGTGATATCATCTCTTACATTGGGACACTGATCAGTGATTCACATACATTAGAGTCATTTGGAGAGAGAGGATGCCTTTTTGTTGGAAAGAGATTGCACAGGATGCAGGAAACCAATAATTGCATAATGATTTTAGTGATCTCACCAATTTTTTCTTGAATATGTTGATCCTTATTTTATCTGTTTCGATCCAAATATTTCATCATTTTGACAGTGTGCAAAACACATTTTCAATAGGGTGGCATGTAATATTAGAATTTTCAAGATGGTGCAATACCTAGAGTAAACTTAAATACTTGATCACCCCATTAAAACATATATTCTTCGTTCCATCTCTAAGATAGACCGATGTTTAAGCACCATGCTTGATGTGATTTCTAATATTGAATCAATGTTTCTGAGACATCTCCAAGAGATAACATTGGATATATTGAACTAGTAATTCATTTAAACCCTAAAACACTTCATCGATCAGTCTAAATCACAGTTTAACCTTGCATATTATGAGTTTGATTTAGAAAGTGAAAATGTAAAGTAAACAAATACACAGTCTGGTATTTATGTTTGTACCAACATGTATGTTTAGTTCATCAGATTATAGTTTTATATAAATGCACTATGTAATCATTTGAATTCTTAGACCAGGGATATTTTGTTATCAGCTAGTGTGATCATCTTGGATTACCAATTTATGAAGGTAAAATCAAACTGGTAAGCGAGTATGTAATGTAATCCCATTTCATACCATGAGAATCAACAGTTAAACAGGTCTGTAGTTTAAGTAGATGAACAAATAAAGTAGAAATAATATGCTTCATCGTGATCAATCTTGGCATGTCCCCTGTTTAGAATTTCTTTCCAAAGGAAGGCAATAGAGGTGGGGTATACACATGTAACTTAGTATATCTCATTATATCTATTATATTTGGTATGTGAATACTATAAGCATGGCACACTGTCTAATGACACTTTTGGTAGAAGCTGGCCATTTTGAAAAATGGCTGCCATTTTTGCTATATACTTTGTAAAAATGCCAGCCATGGCTGTTCGATGGGATTTGCTATGCTTTGGCGTTGCTGTTTTCTAGTGAAAATTGCTATTAAAGAATAGGGTTTGTATAACATTTTTAAAAGGTGTTTCTCATGACAAAACGTGGCAATGTTGGTTTATGATTTATATTTAAAAAACAATTGATCACATCTGTGTTTTCTAAGGTTGTTAAAATGGTGCTAGTAATAGCAAGCCTGGTTTAGTATTTAGATGTAGGTCTCATACATAGGGTTGTAGTAGGATTAGAACATTTGTAACTACAACAAATATGGTCCTAAGTTTGCAATTTATTAAATATACCCTTTGTGCCAGCATTAGATCAAATGGGTGCTTCAACCTGTGCATATCCTCGCAAATACATTTTGTTCTTGTCTGTTTGCAACGGAATGACCAGTTTTCGCCAATGAAAGACAAAGTCAGTGTCAGCCAATATGGCATGGGTGATTTAATTTATGTTCACTTAATGTATTTTGGACTTGTATTTGGCTAGTAGTAGAAATATTTTGAGTAATTTGTTTTTAACAATCTACCCTACCATTGATCAATGACCAGTGTAAGTAAACATTGAAAGAAATATGTAAAAACCTCAATCTTTAGATTTATAGGTGAATGCATTGAGTGCTTTGTGACCTGTCTAAAATAAATCATGTCTCATATGAACTGATCTACGTCAAAGACAGCGACATAGAGTCACTTTGAAAAGGCAAATGCAAATTGCTTTCATTTCCCAATAGGATTGACATGGAAAGTGTCATTCTCATATTTAGAAATATCAGACTCCTTTCTGAATCCCAGTGTTAATCAGACATGAGGGAAAGATTGAGTTTATTAAATTGAAAATTGTACTTAGTGGGGATCCAGGGGTTAACTCTTGATATATGCCTTAGATCGAATCTTCAGGCCTCCTAGTTCATCAATCAGTTCGAGAACTACGTTCCTTGCACTCAATCCACATCAAGAATGTGAAATTTTAAGTCTCGTACCACCATTTCCTCGCTCCCGGACGTATTTCTCCACTCAAACATAGTTCGCGAGGTAAGAACTGATGTTCGCATTGATGGAAGTCTAGGAGGCCTGAATCTTTGGATCGCGATATTGTCACTTCTTTAGATCAACCAATGATCAACTTTTTTGACCAAATATTAAGATGACCTTAGTTAGTGTTGACTTAAAAGATCTACCACTGAGCAGCTCATCAGATCAACTTATGAGATCATTCTTGGGATCTACACTAATATAAGTGCACTTTGGAATTAGTTTATTAGATAGTTTGAAAAATGCAGGAGAGTTTCTTGTAACTTAGTATATATCTATTAGTGCTTGCCTATTACTGTAAACTGACTCTACTTTCATCCATTTCAGCAACTGAACTCTAGATATTAAAAATGATACATCATGTACATTATATCAATTGAAACAGGTGGGATGGAATTCATGATCGCAATATGTCTGTTTCATGATTTATATTTGAAACCTTTGAACATTCATCCATATACCTTAAGTTGTAAAGGATTTAATTTGTGTATGGTATTCAGTGTTTTCATAAAGATTCTTTATTCCTATGATAAAAATTCATTATTTTGCATTGCTGGAAGCTGTGTTCTCAATTGGCCGCATATGATAGACATAACGAGTTGAAATGTGAATGTGATAGGATGTAGCTAAAATGAATGATAAATTTGTCGAGGGAGCCTATGATGATATGCACAAAGACTGATAGACTGTTAGTTAATTTAATACTAGACACTCCTTTTAGATGTCTATAACATGACTCGTTTGAAAAAAATTCAGATTTATTAGTAATATCTCCATAACAAGTGGAATATTGGATGTTTATAATTAATAGTGCAGTTAAGCCCTGATGAACATCGTGTTAAAACTGGCCGTGTAACAATTCATCCGCCACTTGGGAGTCATGTATCATTGACATGTAGAGTCAGTATGCGCTACATACCATATATCAAAAACCAACAGCTTTCATCGTTGGAATTGATATCATTATGTAGATTTATAAGGTTAGAACAAAGGAAATCATATTCCCTATATTATTACTGGTTATTTGGTTCTAGCCATCTTATAATGATTCTTGGACTATATTTCATCTTCGTTCATAATTCATACAATTCTAAAGGAGATACTGGTTGTCACTTTTCAAGTGTAAAATACATTCTGTGAATATGGTATCATCATATTTATTAACACTAGGCATGGTCCTATGAGAGGTTAATGCGATTTTGTGCATGACATACAGTGTACAAGCTTCAGATAATCAATATTAACATTTTGACTCGCATAGGAGAATTCTATTGATTTGCCAATGTGATTTTACAGATGGATGCATATATCAACAGAACTCAAGTAATGGATGCATATTTAATGTCATTTTGCACTGTGTATAACACATCAAATAATGAATATGAACTCTAACATATTGACGAAAACCTAGAACAGTGAAAAATCATTTGTTTCCCCGAACAGATTTATGAGTGTATGCCCAGTTCTTATGCTTTTTTTTGCCTTTTTCTATAGATATGTGTTAAATTCTAATCCATAGCCCCTATACACAGTGGTATATGTTAACATAGTGAGACAGCTGCAACTGGTCAATGGAGCCCTTGTAATAATCAAGTAATCACTACTTTGATTATGTGCTGAGGTGAAATTGTTATTCCTTTGTCTACTCTGACACTATTCTGAAGTATATAGAAGCTTCATTCAGTATTTAGAGTTATTAGGATTTAGGATTTGTTACGATTACCTGTTATGTAAGGATAAAGGATTTTTGTATTCTTGAGTCTTATGATTGTAAGATTCATGTGTTTTTGTAACCTTGAAAATTTCTAACTTTAGTCTTGAAAATCAGCACCCTGTAGGCCCATATTAATATGTGAACTTAATCATACTGAACCACCCTTCATTTCCTTCTCGAGGAGCCTAATAAAAAGTGTTATAAAGGAGGAAGATATTATGATCATCGATGTAAAAGTAATTAATAAGTAATTTCTATTGATGGAAGCAAGGAGTAAAAATAAGACTCTGTATACAGGGGTTTCATGAGCCACAGGCAACAAGCGATTTTCACCAGTTGTTTTCACAAAATCGCCTGTTGTTTTTAGGGGCTTTTCATCTTTTCCATGTTAAATTCATGATTTCTGTTAATTTTGCCTTTTTTCACTTATTTAGCCTGTTGCAAGAAATTCTTATGAGACCCCTGGTATATGAACTCTTTAATGGCTGATCATCACTTCGTCCCCTACCCTGTCCAATCAGCCTTTCTTACATGATGAAAAGCCAGACCAGACTTATGGAGACCCTTACTCCTAAGAGTACTTTGTGTCCTTTCTCTTGTTTATAATGATTATGCAACAACAGTTAGTTTTCAGTTTGAGCAGCTGGTATGTTTTTAGATGAATTGAATATTTTCAATCAAATCTGTACACTTAAGATTTAATGACAAAGAAGAATGTTGGATCATTTCCAGAAACTATTACTTTAGTCCAGTTGATAATTTCATTCGTATTAAGGGAAGTGTTTGTACATTTGGAATTTTTTGCAATTTTGAAAAGTAGACCAATGAATATTCTAGCTATTCATGCAGTATAAAACAATCCTCAATACATTAAAGCACCTTTTGTGCTAACATGAAAGATGTTGACCATGTGTGGAATGAGTTACAGTATGTTTATCTGGAAATAGCACATGGTCATGAAACTTCATCAAAATGGTTGAAAGTACACACTGACCTTAATAGGAAAAGAACTTATGACTAGTCAATGCAGAGTAAGATAAGTATAGTACAGTGTACTAGGGGTCCCGCGATTCATCGATATATCGATGCATCGGCTCGTTTGGTGACGATACGAGCGTATCGATACGAAGACTCAAATATCGATACACCAAAAATATAATTAACATACCTGAAATCCATCATATTTTGCCGAAATCTACTGAATATTCGAATTTTTTGAGAAATTGTTCTCATATTTTTTGTTTGGTTTGTCGCTGGACATGACATGCCCAAAATGGTGTATAAATGCGAACAGAATGCTTAGCGGATTGACAGTCAAAATGCGAACAAATAACTTGTGTCTGCTATGTCTTCGTATATCAACGTACTTTGTTTTATAATTATTCTATATACTTTTTGACAATTTAGTATGAATAAATATAATCTTTGAACTTTTTATTCGATAGAACGCCGCGTTAAAAAATTGCCTACTAATATTGATAGCTCTAATAAAAAACCGCCGAACAATATTTACGTTCGGAGTTTTAATGTTGACCGGAGTTTAGAAATTGAAACTTTTTGAAAGTTTTGAAAACAATTGATAGAATTATGGCCGTGTAAATATCAAACATGGGTAGTTGTGATATCCTAATACGGCCCCTAATAGACAATCTACTGCAGTATTTTGTAACATTCCTCAGTAAAGGGAAAGCACAGCCGGACTTCAAAAAATATTGCAAAATATGCATAGCTGGCTACTTTACAGCAGGTAGGCTTGATACTTGTCTTGACAATCGTTTTTATGCTGCATCTTAATCAAATGTCACAGCAAGTGATAGACTTTCAACTCAACCTCAGCTTCGTCAGTTTTGCACCCCCCTCCCCCCTCCCCCGGTTCAACTACACTATTATGTATCGTATCGTTGCTCGTATCGTGACCTGAGTATCGAGATACGTATCGTATCGTTTCATAATGTATCGTGGGACCCCTACAGTGTACATTGAATTTTACATTATTAGCCTCTAGACTTGGATTTAGTCCCCAATAATCATAATGCGGCTGTTGTGATATCTTTATGAAGCATCTTAGAATAGAACTGCATATATTTTCAAGAAACTGTTCAAGTTCCATGTATAGCCTCATCTACTATATCAAAGTTTGTTTATCTGGCTTATGTTGTAATGATCCTAGATCAAATAGCTGTTGCAATAAAGATTATGTAATAGATTATTGGATAGGTTAGTTTCTTGCCAAATGTTAGTATTTACAAGAAACATGTGACTTGTGTACATTTGCTCTTTGTTAGAATGAATCTGTTCATGTCTATTCCATCAAATTCCTCTTTGAAATAATTTTAATCGTTTTAATCTCATGTGTTGGCTCTTTTCCTAGAGGTGTTTTATATTTTGAAGTATTCCTGCTGGATATTTTGCTTTTAATAGGATCCAGCTGTCCTTAAATATATACCATGTCACCTCATTCCCTCTCAAGTCTAGATATAGAGAGGGTTTGGAAAATCAGACAGTGACTTAAGATTTGAAGCTTCTTTTATGGTCACTGTGTCTAGGAAATAAATACCAATTATGTTTATTTACAGCTCAGATCCTGCATTTTGAATGCCTTCTATGTTCTAATTTAGAGGAGATAAAGAAAATAAATTATATGGTCTTTATACTGGCATACTAATGTGATACTAACTTAATTTAATGGCTATCTACCAGGAATTTGTTAGAGGGTGCCATATCCTTATGATTTTGAATCCATTAAACATCACACCATTCATGTTTTTGTGTTCTTGTGTTTCATAGATTTAATGTCTTAATTTATGTTTTATGTCACCACCACAAGTGTTGACATATTGTTATGGTCTCCAGCCTTTTTATGATGGTATTAGGAGTTTGGTGGCTGTAACAAATGGCAGGTGGTGGTATTTTGCATGTTAATGCCTTGTTTTCAATGTTTGTGCCCATTTATCTCTTTTCTATAGATTCACCAGAATGCAAATATCTTGTTCAACTTGATTGAGAGGAACCCTCATTGTTTTCAGAAGACTTAAGAGCTAGAGGATCCTCTGGAATTGTTTTGATAAATTCTGTGTCTGAATACCCTTTTAATAAGAAATTGGTTTCTCAATTTTAAAAGAGACCTTCAACTACAGTTACTTTAACCTCTTGGTTTTTGTGTAATTTACGAAGATGTGGTGACCATATTCAGAGTATACAATGACTCTTAATAAGTTGATACTTAAAAGTCAGTTTGACACCATGAAATAAAAACAAACATTGAAATGAGGAAACCACATTTTGCCCCACACTTAGTCTATGTTATATTTAGAATCTATTTTTGAAATTGGCAGAGAACATTTCTAAACCTAACAATGTCATTAGGTTGAAAAGTGACAATTTCCTTTTTGTATTATTTTTACCATCATATTTTTTGAATGTCAAATTACCTGTTACTTTATAACTGGCCATGTTTATTGTTATGATTATGAACCATGTTCATAGTACAAATCACCATCAAATTAATGCATTTACTAATTCAGCATGATTTAATTACTGTTAATTTGGCAATTGTTCATATTCCAACCTCAAATGATATATAACACCATATGTGGTAAGTTTATCACTGAACAATACAATCATATCATAGGTGTCTCAATTAATATCCCTGTTTCATGATTATTTCTGTATACGGATTAGAGTGAAATCTGATGTCTCTATATAAAATGACATGTATATTATATTATTATGTAATAGAGAATATATTCCACATCTTCAATCTGATATATCAGAGTCCCTCCTTATATATCTAAAGCTTGTGAGAGACATACATTAACCTTTTGACTACCTGAAGTGACGACCTTGAAACCCAGAGTGACAAGAAAATCGGTTCTAAAGTTGCTTTTATTTGAACAATTTTCATCCAATTTACACAAAAAATGTTTTAAAATGTGTAGAAATGATCTCTGCTGTCTAATTTTATTAAGTTTAGCATTGAAAGTTGTATAGGTATGTAGTAAAATACCAAAGGGTGGCAAAAATGAAAAATTCTCTGGTTTCAACCGATTTTAGAGCCTGGGATTCATGAAGTTAATTGACAGACATGCACTGGTAAGAACGAAGGTATTGTGTCTCACTTGGAAGATCATCAGCAGCAGGCACTCAGCGATCTTCTCCATTTGTTTCACCAAATTTGCCTGTTGTTTTGAAGAATTCAGCAACTGTTTCCATGTTAGATTTATAAACTCCAATTGTTAAAATGTTACCTGTTTTTGTTTCATTCATATTGCCTGGTATCCTTAAAATCCTTAAAGCAACTTCCATTTTTGAAAACAAATCCTGGTATACAGCTGCACAATGTAAAACCAAACCCATGGTATTATTGCCGCAAGAATAAATATATTTCTCCACAATACAAATTATGCTTCTCTAGTATCTATTGAATTCAATAGTTAACCAATAAGTATGAAGATAGCGCTATAGTGAATACTATTAATAGCACCATTGATACAAAATGTATTTTTAATTCACAGGTTTACTGTATTGTACCCAGCAAACCTTCCACACAAAATTGGTCTGATAGTAAACAAAGCTACCCTCTCATTCATGGTTTACCAATATATTTGCACTCAGTAACCCCAGCTAGACTGCTCACTACAGATAAATCGAAAGGCATAATATGAAGTAGCGGTTACATTAGTCATGCAGGGGCTTATTAATATAAAGGAGTATGCAGTTCTATTATAAACAAATAGCTGAATGAATATTACATACTAAGATGTGTCTAACTTAAAATGAATCTGGAAATGAAAAGTTCTGAAATCAATAATACTGGGCATAAGAAATCTATTTATGACAGTTGCATTCTTGCATATCAAGGGTTCAAGCTAGCTATGCAGGTTGCAATACTTGTTGTGATATCATTGAACCTATCTCTGTTAAATAAGATTATCATGATCTGATGAAATGCAGACATAACCTTACAGCTGTAAAATGTCTCCAGTACCTTACGCTGAAAGTAATCTATTTTCTTGTTATCATAACTTGAAAACAGATTTTTGTATTTAGACTCTAAAGACAAGGATATAGTGGGTCTATATATGTTTGATTACTACACTTTTTGTTCTGGAAGTCTAAAAATACTTGGATGTTGCATTGTTCTCTTTAATCAGAAAGTGATATTTTGATTGGAAGTATTATATATCTAGGATTCCTTTTCTTTAAATAGAAAATGAGATTTTGATCCTGAGTTTCTCATCTTTCTATTTCCATACTAGTGTTTCGGCCATTGTTGGATCTGATGGTTTACTTGTAATGCCTGTTTTGGGTTATTATCAAGTAAGAATCGATGTTACTGATAATATTAGCTCTGATTATTTGTCAGAACCATCAATTGGTGAAATAAATTGACTGCAAGGTTTGAAAAGTGCTATAAAATACAAAAAAGAGTAAGAATGTGGAAATTGATGCAAAAATTGACCATTTATGCTGTATGTTCTTTCAGATACCTAGATGCATATGAAAAAGTATATTTCTTGGGGGAAGACCCCGACAAACCGGAGGAAGAAGATGAAGGCCATCGGCATGCCAAGAAACGAACCAATACCCCCATTACCAAGGTGGCCATGAGATACAACTACTCCCAGCATGACCTTCCAGGTAGGCAAAAGTTTCACATTTTGTTAAGAATATGTGATACAGCTCAACATGCAAAAAGTCCAAGTGGTTCTTGATTGCGCTTTCCTATCGCCACATTCCTCTTTAAAAGTTGCACATTTTGTTAAGATCTTCTTGTCAGCTTCCATATGTCATCAGGTAGGCAAAGACCAATGTTATTTATTTTGTCTGGATATATGCTAAATGTCAGGTTGCACATTCAAAGTTTGAACAGATTATTGGTTACCATGGCAATAAATAGTGAAATCTTGTAATGAATTGGTTGTGGCAACCATATTGTGACATTTCATCGGTTTAATTTTGTTCATATTAGGTCTTGCTCTCAATGCTTTGTTCACCTCAGCTTGTACTTATACATTGAGTAGAGTCTATTTCAGATGAATACATCTTCAGGTAGACAAATATTCTTCCATGCATATGGAGGAATCTCATTCTCAACATACATTCATATGTTTGACCCTACTGAGCTTGCATATCTGGTGATCATTGAATGTGTTCATTGAGATAGACAAATGGAATTTAATTAATTTATATTAAAGAATCTTCTTCAAACATGTTTGACTTCATCTTGTATATTCAGTTCCTCATTAATGAATTACTTGATTGGTTAGAAGGTGGTTCTCTCATATATAGAGGATGTTTCATTTATTCTTGCACAGGCAGTTAGCTCTTATAATAAAATGTAGCACTTGATGCAAGAAACCTTGGCAGTGTTTGAAGTTATTTCTTGGTGTTATTTGATAGACCGCATGGAATATTAGTGTTTTACATCAGAGTGATTGAGGTCTTTAATTTCCTGTCGTACGAAAATGAGCTATGATGCTTTGTATTTCAATTAGGAGGCGAATCTAACTGATGCTCTTAATGCACTTTTCATATTTATGAAGTGATACCCCGGTATTCCGGTAACTGGGCAATGTATCTGCTGTTCAAAACTGTTAAATCCATGAATTCTGACATGTTTTGAAAAAATGTTTACATTCAGTAAAACATAAAGTTTGCACCCATTTGAGAAAATCCTGGATTCTCCCAATTATATTACATGGGGAGTTCAGCTATGATATTCTTGTACAGGGTTGCATCTAGATATGTCATGTTACATATTATATATGTCCATATGGTATTACTTGTTGTCATAAATTACACATGTTGCACTATTACAGCACAAAAGTTGCATATATATTAACTCTTTTCTGCTGAAGTTAATCCTGAAAAACGCGTAAAAATTGACAAAAATGACAGTCTTCGTCTTTAAAAAATCATAACTCTGAAAGTATTGGTCAGAACATAGTAAAACTATACAGTTTTGGAAAGGAAATTGTATAATCTATCTGTTTAGAGTATAAAAAGATATACCCCCTGTCCTGTTATTAGACTCCCAAGGGTTAAAATAAAAATCCTCAACAGAATCTGAGTCAGTACTTGAGTTTGAGGAGTCATAATCATCCTCTGAGTCTGATAATGACAACACAAAGCTTCCCCAAGATCCAATTCATCATCAGTTTCAATGTCACTTTCAGCTGGGATATTTACTATCCTATCCCGCATCGGCCACAGTTCTGGGCGTCTAGGCATTGATTGTCTACCTAGGCATCGTAATTAACTAAAGTTGAAATGATTCTTTGTTCATAAACTTGTTTATTGATCGATTAAAGCAGGAAAAATCAAAAAATTGTTAAATTTTTTTGACTGAACTACTGAGCATGCGCGGAGTTTTAATTACACTGGACGAAAAACGTCCCTGGGGCAAGTTAGGTGGGCGTGGCAGCTGACAATAGCGGGAGATTCAAAAAGTCGTAAAAACGCATAAATCAGCGAAAAGGAGTTAAATGAAGGTTTTGATTAGGTTTGATGCCCATATTACTTTATGATTGAAATTATATTGCTGTACAAGATTAAATGTTTGACTAATTTTTGCTTTCGCACTTGCTAATATATCTACTTGTCTTTTGTGAAATTCACTTATGGTACACCCTACCTCTGGCCTTTCCATTATTTACCTAATTAGTTATCATGTACATTACCCGATGAATGTGAACAAGTGCCTAGGCTCCACCCTGTCTCTTGTCTTCTCTTATGGTCATTATACCACGGCGCTGTATCCGAACTGCATGCATGATATGCACGCAATTTAAGCTGCGCACATTGTATGCACGCAGTTTGTATACTTAGTCCAGTATAATCTCCCTGACATAAACCTGATACACTACATCTAAATTATTTTTTGTAGAATATATCCGAGAAAACCATGGGATGTCTGACAAGTTTGCCCCACTGGCTCCATATGGTGCTCTGGAGATGTCCCTGCTCTCTGGTTTGCCTAATGAGGTTGATTTTGCCATCAATGTCTGTACGTTGTTATCTAATGAGGGCAAACATGCACTCAGGGTTGAGGAGGCACCTAAATTGATAGACTTACTTATGGCACATATAGGCATTTTTCATGAAGGTATGTTGACATCACAGATTGTATCATATTTTGGATTTTGGAAGTTGTCTTGTACCAACTTGAAAATCTATTTACTCCTACTTCACAATGAAAAGTAGCTTGAAGTCTTGGCATATTTTGACCAACTTTGGTCATATTACAGTGGAAATCATGTTTTATTTTATAACAAAAAATGATACGTTTTAATTGAATGCTAAAAATGGTATTATGACCGTGTGTCTTGGAGAAACAAATCCAATGTATTTTGTTAGAAATAAAAAATAATGGCATTTCCCCTCGTCGCAAACTTTGCATTCATGTGTTCTCTATCTGTAGGTCCTGGAGCACTAACTAGTCTATATGACCATGCATGGAGGCCAGTCACCAAGAGGAACTTTGTGAGGGTGAGTCTTACTTTCATACAACTTCAAGCTGTACCTCTATCTTGCTAAAAAGCACCCTTACTTCCTTATGCAGGAATTTTAGACAAATTTGACCTCAAGGCTTCTCAGTCTGGGGTCACAAAACATGGCAGACATAAAACAGTTCCCCTCAAAAATGTAAACTCATAATATTGAGGGTTGGGTAAGAAATGTGGTTATGGAATTAAATTGTATCATTTGAATTAAAATCCTCATGGTGTTTATGTTTCAGTTCTGGTATGATAGTGTAGAGGACACAGACCTTCATGATCTCATTGGCTGCGAGGATATGGTCAAACATTGCGGTAAGTCATACTCGGACTATAGAAAATGTTAATGGCAGAATATGTTCATGGCACTTTTCCCAAGAAATGAGGTCATTGTAAAGCACCATTTCAAAATATTTACAAAATAACATAGCCACAAAGACTTGATCGTCTCTAGAAAATGGGTTATTCTCAAATAAATAAAGGAATAAACCCCAAGAATCCAAGATTCTATGAATTGTGATGCAATATTTTGAGTCATACATACTCTATAATAAATGGATCTCCCATTCAGTTTGTTTTTGTGATATCATTCATCAAATGAGATTGTTGATTATAGATACAAGACAGCTATGTGGCAGTGATGTTCTGAACCTTGGTACAGAGCTAGGAATCAGGAATATGGAGGGTCAACGTGTACTGCAGCTAGCCAATATATTCCGTAATCTCTCATTTGAAGAAGACAATGTACAACCATTAGCTGGCAATATACTTATATTCAGGTACGTCTATTCAGAAAAAGTAATATACTGATGCTCAGAAAATTGCACTTATGTTTCTAATTCTGAAAAACCCCTGTGTAAAAAATGAAAATTGCTCATTTATTCCATAGGTTCCTTTTGCAACTAACACACTACATTTATTTTACAAGAGCACCGTCAAAAGAAAATGGAAATGATTGCTTAATTTTCCCATAGGTTATATGTTACTAGCACATTGTAAAAACCCTGTTTATAGAAAATGAAAATGGTTGATAAAATGGTTGCTTTTAGGTTCCTTATGCTACTAGCTCATTGTAAATTCTCTGAACTGAAGCAGCTTGGTCTGGATACATTGGGGAACCTCTCCCTGCAGTTGGTGCTAGATCCCATAGATGTGAGAAACACACAGCTATTAATGGAGACCCTGTGCAAATGTATAGCATCTCCTGATAAATTTGAAGTAGTTCGAGGTAAGTCCTTTTATTATCCCATCGAACGAAGTTCGGAGGGATATAGGGAACGCCTCCGTCCGTCCGTACGTACGTACGTCCGTACGTCCGTCCGTCCGTCCGTCCGGGCAATAACTCAAATACCGTTGGCCCGATTTTTTTCATATTTTGTACACATATACCCTATGGGGGTAGAAGTTCTGCTCGAAAGCCAATTTTCAAAATGGCCGCTCATTTAAAAATGGCGGCCATTTTAGTGCCGATTTTAATTTAGGTGCAATATGTAAAACTGTAATAGCAATATGTTTTAAATGTAAAAAATTATATAGGACATTGATAAAGCTAGAAATAGAGATATTAAAGAAGCACATGGCAGCCATCTTGAAAAATGGCGGCCTTTACTCGTTATTTTACGATTTTTGCAGTAACTCAAAAAGTAGTGGAGCGATTTTGTTCATATTTGGTTTGTGAATACTATAAGCATGCCACACTGTCTAATGACAGTATTGGTAGGAGGCGGCCATTTTTCAAAATGGCCGCCATTTTAATGTATTTTACTATAACTCGAAAAGTAGTGGAGCGATTTTGTTCATATTTGGTATGTGAATACTATAAAGAAAAAGCATATTACTTCTTCTGATGACAACTTGGCTAGTAAGCAACCATTTTGAAAATGGTGGCCTTTCTTATGTGTGTTATTTTATGATATTTGCTGTATATTTCGTTTGTTAAAATGCCAGCCATTTCTGTTCGATGGGATTCGCTACGCTTTTGCGTTGCCGTTGTTCTGGTTCTTGTATCATCCATAGATATAGATTTTCATTGTGCTACAGGCAGTGTTCTCCCCAACGTTTAAGCAAGTGGGGAACATCCACCTGGGATTTTAAAAACAGTCTTGCACCCACCTGAAAATCAATTTGCACCCAATCAATCATGAAAATTAAAAATGGGCACACATGTATTTTGACCAGTTATGGTCTGAGTTGTGAAAATGAGAATTTTGCACAAAAAGTCCTGCGTTGATATTGACAGGGTCGTGTTTTATTGGAGGCTGAGCAGAATTTGAGTTTGACTTCATTAGGGTAAAGAAAGTACTCAGCTTCCAAGAATTGAGAAGAACATGCAGATAAAATAACTGAAAGGAGAATGGAGTCAAAGATGAAATTGAATAAAACTATACAGAAAATTAAGAACAGTTTGATGGAGCAATAGGGAAGAATGGCTTGACAAGAATAATATTAAATGCAAATAAATTGATCTGATAAAACCTCCACTTGAACTTGTAATAAAGAAACCAAAGATTAGCTGTACTGTGAAGGTTATAAATGAGTGCTTGTTATTATCATATGAAATATAAACTGATATTCTTTATTAGCAAAAGTAATATGTTACAAGGTACTAGATTTCATTGAGATATTGAATGGTCAATTGTAAGTTGTAATATGTCAATTTTATAGAAAATCTGCTTTAATGAACATGTTATTATTTGATCGACTTCTAACTGCTTTGTAAGCATGTTGATTAACACACTTGGAGTGTGTTTTACTGTGTTAAAAATATGGACATTTATGTTATATTTTACAGGAATGGAGATCCTATCAAAGCTTTGCCAAGTTGATCCAAATGAAGACATCATCACTGGAAGTCTTGAGAGTAAAACCTACAATGACATTGTGTCGTATCTGACTGTACAAGATATCCAACTTATAGTCTACACATTAGAGGTGTTATATCAACTCTCTGAATTGGGGGAGGTAACCAGCACAGCCATAGCTGCAGCACATATGTGTGTTGGTAAGTAGAGTATCATGTAATATGTACTTTATGTGTAATATGTACTTTATGTGTAATATGTACTTTTGTGTAATGTGTACTTTATGTGTAATATGTACTTTATGTGTAATATGTACTTTTGTGTAATGTGTACTTTATGTGTAATATGTACTTTATTTGTAATATGTACTTTATGTGTAATATGTACTTTATGTGTAATGTGTACTTTTGTGTAATATGAACTTTATGTGTAATATGTACTTCTGTGTAATACATACTTTTGTGTAATATGTACTTTTGTGTAATCTGAGTGATCTACAAGCATTAGATAGGTGCTGCACCCATGTAAGATTAAGAAATTAGAACTTCAGTAAATTTTGACATATTTTTGTTAGCTGTAAAAGTGAAAATCAAACGCCCACAATAAGAACAGCACCATCCAGATTACTTTGAATTGTCATTTGTGATGTTAGATATTTAGATAACCACTGCTGGGTGGTCAACAAACAAAAGTACACTTCCTACATTGTGCATATGTTTCTCATTGAATCACACACTTAACCAAAATTTGCTCTATTAGTTGTCTGATTTCAAAATTATCTCTATTAAAGATTTAATTGGAGAACAATACAAGTTAATTATTTGATATAAATTTTCCAGAAATGCTGATTGGCTTGGTGACAATTGAGGCCCAATCATATGGTCCAAACTCTCTCATAGGAATCAAAGTAGTCGAGCATGGTTCAGTGCTGGGTCTACCAGCTCCTAACCAGCAGCCCGTTGGTTCAACGCAGCCTGTGGGGTCTGCAAATTTGAAACCAGGGGCTATCCCAACTCCCCCTCCACAACAAAGTGAGGCAAATTACATTCATTATGTTTTTTGATTTATATCAAGTCTTCAAAGCAATCTGTGCTTATCTTATTATCATCAGAGATTTAAAAGCAATTTCCCATTTAAAACCTGAACTTCTTTTGCATAGCCTAAAATGGCAATTGGCAAGATGTTTATTAGTAAAGTAAGCGATAAAAAATGAATAAATAGATATATGCTTTGCTTTTTTCATTTCAGACCCTGTAACAGTACAACAGCAGCAGTTTCCTAGACCCCAACCAGTACAACAAGCCCCACAGCAACAACAATATACCATTCAACAAAAACCAGTACAACAACAACAAATTATGAACCAGCAGCAACCTCCTGCTTTACAACAGCAACAGCAACAAAATCAACCTATGATTGACAAGGGTGCATTTGCGTGTAATTGGTTGAATGCATATTGGGAAAGCAGGTCTGATTCAAGTGTCTCTAAAGTGGATTTATATTCTGAGTACTTGGCTGCTTGTAGTAAATTCCTTGGACGTGACCACATGCTCAGCTCTCAAGCATTTCATGCCATTGTCAAGTGAGTACTATCATTCCACATGTTTCAGATTATAGGGCACCAACTAAAATCTAAATACCTGTATGTTTTTTATTTTTTTATTTCTTTATTTCAAATTGATTCAATTACCAGATCAGCATAAAGTTCTGGTAAAACTTCCAAAACATGCCTAATTATGGAAATAAATTCTAACATTTTTCTCCTCAATGTTAAGAATTAAAGAATAATTGTTGATACGGTCATTGAGGTCACCCCCTCCACCCAAGTTACCTATGAGCACTTTTACAAAATTCTGCATCGTTTAAGAGATCTTGAATGGTGAAGAGCAAATTTGGTCAAAATTCATGGAGGTTCTGTCTCCCCTTAAACCTCATCTATCAGATTCTAGCTTTCTTGAATTGTAAGATTCATTTTATGTTTCAGAAATGTATTCAAGAACACAGATTTTATCACAGTGAAGAAAGGTGGCACTATGGAGGTTCACTTTAAGAATATATGCAAAAGAGTTAAACCGTTGCCATTTCACCCTGGTGAGTATAACCTTCATTGTTATTATGTCACCACCAAAAGTGGTGACATATTGTTATGGTCTCCGTTTTTTTGCGATGGCGGTTGGTGGTTGGCGTCCGGCGTCTGGCGTCCGGCGTCTGGCGTCCGGCGTCTGTAACAATTTCTTACAACTTCCTATAACTTAACAAATACTGTTTAGATTGACTTCAATTTTTTCTAAATCATCTACATGTTCTCAGAAGTTCAAATCTGACTTTAGATTTGACATTTGACCTTCAATGACCTTCTCAAGGTCAAAAAGGTCTTTTTACAACTTGCTTCACATTGACTAAATTTTTTTTCAAAATCATCTACATGTTCTCAGAAATTCAAATCTGACTTTAGATTTGACTTTAGATTTCACATTTGACCTTCAAATCTGACTTTAGATTTGACATTTGACCTTCAATGACCTTCTCAAGGTCAAAAAAGGTCTGTTTTCAACTTGCTTCAAATTGACTAAATTTTTTTTCAAAATCATCTACGTGTTCTCAGAAATTCAAATCTGTCTTAAGATTTGACTTAAGATTTGACATTTGACCTTCAATGACCTTCTCAAGGTCAAAAAAGGTCAAAAAGGTCTGTTTTCAACTTGCTTCAAATTGACTAAAAAAAATTTTCAAAATCATCTACGTGTTCTCAGAAATTCAAATCTGACTTTAGATTTGACTTAAGATTTGACATTTGACCTTCAATGACCTTTTCAAAAAAGGTCAAAAAGGTCTTTTTTCAACTTGCTTCAAATTGACTACATTTTTTTTTCAAAATCATCTACATGTTCTCAGAAATTCAAATCTGACTTTAGATTTGTCATTTGACCTTCAATGACCTTCTCAATGTCAAAAAAGGTCAAAAATGTATTTTTTCAACTTGCTTCAAATTGACTAATTTTTTTTTCAAAATCATCTACATGTTCTCAGAAGTTCAAATCTGACTTTAGATTTGACATTTGACCTTCAATGACCTTTTCGAGGTCAAAAAGGTCTTTTTTCAACTTGCTTCAAATTTACTTAATTTTTTTTTCAAAATCATCTACATGTTCTCAGAAGTTCAAATCTGACTTTACATTTGACATTTGACCTTCAATGACCTTCTCAATGTCAAAAAAAAGTCAAAGAGGTATTTTTTCAACTTGCTTTAAATTGACCAAATTGTTTTAGGTGGTGACATTTTGTCATGTTAATGCCTTGTTTCTCTATGTCTACATTGATCTCCCCAATATTAAAGCTTGTATTGAAATTGAACTATTCTAGAAATATAATTTGATTATAATTGAGAAAAATCTTGCTTTGTGATTTAGTGTCATCTTTATTTTGAATTTAGTGAAAAACATCTGAGCTTTCTATGGCAATTTGTTAAACCATTACCATTGCACCTTTGTAAATGTACCCTCAAAACATCCATTTACTTATAATGTTCATTTTGTCTTTTATATATATGTATTTCTTATCCCATTATATGATACTATTTCTATAAATCAGTAATGTTCTTTATTTTGATGATTCCAGTTGTGATGAAACCTGTAGGTGTTCAAAAGCCAATCCAGTACCCAGGGGCCCAGGTTGGTGTCCCCAGGCAGACCTCTACACCCCCTCACCCTGTACCTATTAAGCCCATGCCACCACAGCGCAAACTCCCTCTCCTGCTGCCTAAACCGCCCGCAGTGGGACCACTTCTGCAGCAGCATCTTCTCGCCCCTAACAACCCACCAGGGACTGCTGCGTCTAATACCATGCCTGGCCCAGGGTTGGCTACTGTCAACGCATCAGGGTCTGGGGTGCTGACGTCACATGGTGGAGCTGCCTTACAGTCCCAGGTGAACTCTACCCTTGTGTCTACAAGTACCCAGGGTGCCCAACAAACAATCACGCTCATCCGTCCTAACATGCCAGGATCTCCTGTGTTGAACATACAACAGACTGCCATAAAACATGATTCTAATCTCATCAAAAATTTACTTGCTAAGAAAGTGCGAATGCGGGGAGCAACTTCTCCGAGTCCATCACAAAATAGCAGTGAGCCCACACCACCTAGTACTCCTACCTTACAGTACCCGGCCACCCCACCTCATACCCCTACATCTACCACCATGCCAGCATCCCCAGTAGCCCCTAAGCAGTTTGACCCTAATGGACCACAGTGTACCCCTGTCAGGAGATCTCTCCCTGTCATGCAGTCCACTCCAGTTAAACACCCAGCAACTGCACCACAACAACCACTTGGTTCTCCTATAAGGGGATCCCCAGCAAGGTCAAGGTCACCTAAGGGATCCCCAAGGCCAGTGACCACCACTACTACAACAGTTGGAGGCTTTAACCTTGAGGTTTGCACTGGCGCACAAAGGGCCCATGATATTGTACAGGACGATGAAGTCGCCAAGGAGGCTGTTATTGAAAAAGTGGAAAATACTTCAATTAATCGCTTGAAGAACAAACCCCTTGTTATCAATACCAATATTATTACCACTACCAAAGATAGAGTAGGTTGTGATGAAAACCACACAGGTGCTACTATACCCACTGAACAAGCTATACAGCAGACTCAACCTCCAGAACAATCTAATCAAAATGTGAATGCCATCGTTAATGTACCAGAACAATGTCAAAATGCTCCAGTACAAATTGACACCCCGTGTAGTAATAGTGGAGAAAAAATTGTTGAACAATGTGTAAACCAACCAGACCAAGGAAAGGTCAATGAGCAATGTACAAAAAATCCACCGATCACTGTTGTGACAGAAAATTCAAAAACTCTGCCAGTTAATGGACTTAACAGTGAATCTCAATCAGAATCTCCAATGGATAACAATTTAAAAGCTACAGAATCTTTGTTTTCAGAACCTAAATCTTCCAGTGCTTTATCTCAGGGAACAGACATTAGCCAATCTGGAATTAGCCAGCCATCGTCTGGAATTAGCCAGGCATCATCTCATACCACTGACTCAAAAAGTGAGAAATTAGACTCTAGTGAACAAAAAAATGACTCTGGCAAATTAAACCATCAGGATTTAACTACAAGTGGAGAAACTCTGGATTCAAATGGCCAGAGTTCACCAAAGTCACAGAAAATGGCAGTTGAATCATCAAAATCTGACAGTGTGGGACCATGCAATAGTGTTGGTAAATGTGATAATAATGGGACTAAAAAACTGAATGGAATTCCTGAGAAGCATCCTCCAGTGAATGGAGATGTAACAAGTATGAATGTCTCGGAAAAATTAATAAACGGACCATTGGATCCTAGCCATATTCTCCCAAAAGATAAGACTCAGCTCGTAGGCGAGAAACTTGAGAAAATAAATCAACTGTTTGAAGAGAGCAAATCACTAAATGGAGTGGTACATCACATGAATAATGGAACATTAAGTGAGAAAGAAATCACGAAGCTGAAGAAAGAGGAAATGGTGAAATTAATGAAAAAGGGAGAAGAAATGAATGGTGATTTAGCAATTGGTTTATGTAAGGATATAAATGTAGCTAAGAAAGTGTTAGAAAATGGATATTCATCGAGTGGTGCTGATAGTGAATTAGACGTCCCTATTCATAATACTAAAAAATGTGCTCATAACAACTCTAATCCCAAGTCCAAAAATGGACCAAAGCATTCCATTCAGGTGTACACTGCTAGTGTGACTAAAGACAATGGTGAGACAGATAAAGATAAGGAAAAAGCTATGCTAAATGATAGCATGCGTAGTAACAGTGAAGAGGAAACTGACAATGCAGTAGCTGCACTACTTGGTTGTGTAACTGACTCAGATGATGAGGTCAACGCAGAATTGAACCAAAGTGGAGAGATACCCCCAGAACAATTAACCTCGGAACAAATTATCTTAACTCCTATATTAGCAGACAGTCCTCAGACTAGTGAACAAATTGAAACAACTAGTTTACCCTTAACCAATGGGACAGTTATGGTTATAAAGGATGAACCAGAGACTAAGGAGGAGCCTATGGATACTGAACCCTCAGGTGCAGTTATTTTACCAGCTAAAGTTCAAAAATCCCAAAGCACAAGCTCGGATAATCTTGATGCTGTTATAAATGCTGTTGCTGAGGGAAATTTTGTCCCGAAAAAAGAGCCAGTCCCAGTCACACCTCAAAAAATATCATTCTTTACAACTAACTATCAGAATCAAACCAATCAGCCTCAGTTCTCTCCTGCTGGATCTTCACGTAGTAGTGTTATGTCTCCGCCACCCCAGTCACCTGGTGGCGACATCTTCGCTAAGATAGACCAGCATATTCAGGGTTCGCTCATAGCAGCCGCATTACGTCGTCCCTCCTTTGAGGAGGACAGTCGGAGTCGTTCTCCAACTAAACGATCCTTCACTGACTCACCAATGCCAGAGGAACGACAAGATCCCCCACTTCCAAAACCTAAAAAGCGCAAGTCACGCGGGAAGGCTAGTATAGACTCGCGAAGGTCATCAACTCAGAGTGAGGCTTCAACTGTGATCTCAAACATGGGCACTGGGCAATATATGTGCGAATGGGCATTATGTCAAAGGTATGTCACTTCTTGCCATCAATAAATGCCCAAATTTTGGTTGCATTTTCATAAATGTTAAACCAAGACATTGTTCTCTCAATTTTAGATAATTTTGATATGTCATTCCTGATATTGATCTCGTCTTTCAGTGGAAAAGATCAAGCTGCAGATTGAAGTGTAAAATTGTATATTTGAAATTCTTTGTCTTTTTAGGTTTTTTGAAACCCCAGCTGGTGTTCTTAACCACATCAGTAAACTCCATCTCTCTGCCATTGTCAATGATGGCACTTGTATGTGGGAAGGCTGCGATGGCCTCAGGAGGAAGAAGTGGTCTCTATACACACACATACAGGACCGCCACTGCACCGAGCATGCACTGAAGGCTGCAGCTTTGCGTCGTCAACAGCTCCAGAATGTGCCAGGAGGTGGGGGGTTGATCCCCCAGGGTGTCAATGCTGGCCCCACTCCTCCCGCCCCTGTATACCCGCATGATGCAGCCATACAAGCCATTAGGAGATTCTCAATCAAACCACCTTATCCTGAACTGATGGTATGTAAAAACTAATCTCTTAGTTATTTATTAGTTGTGTTACTCCTGAGGACAAATAGTGTAACATATGAGAAATCATCACTTTTATAATAGAAAAATAATGAAGTAATTGATATATTGTTTATTTTCAAATCTTGCAGGAACCAAAAGAGGGCCCTGTCACTAAACATATCCGTTTAACGTCGTCATTGATTCTGCGTAATCTCGCCCGATATTCAGCAGTTGGAAGAACGTAAGTGTTGCATTCAATTTAGATGTTCATTCACATGCAGGTTTCATGTCATCTTGCAATTAACACTTCATTTTTGTTCTGATTTTTCATGATATAATTATCATGGGAGAAGAGTTACAAGAATGGGTTCCAATGTATGACTAGATTCAATGGTTATCTAATAGGTTTAAATATGCGGTAGCAAAATTCTTTCTTCGGGTTTCTATTTTTTCAGTCCTTTAATGTTGTCCAGTACATAATGCTTCACAAATAAATCCTTCAAAAAATACATGTCTTTGCTACTAAAATGAACTTTTCTGTAGATACCAGAGAGTTTTCACTATTCTCGTTCTCATTATTGATACATGATAGCATTTGATACAAGTATTTGTATAATGTTTGATTACAGTTGCATCAAGAGACATGAGGGACAGCTGGCTTATGTTGCTCTAAGTCCTGTGGAATCATCTACTGCCATATCGAACTGTCTGTGGGAACTCCATCAACACCATTAACTGCAGCAGTCTCATCATTAGTAGCTGGATCAACATCATTAACTGCAGCAGTCTCGTCATTAGTAGCTGGATCAACACCATTAACTGCAGCAGTCTCATCATTAGTAGCTGGATCAACATCATTAACTGCAGCAGTCTCGTCATTAGTAGCTGGATCAACACCATTAACTGCAGCAGTCTCATCATTAGTAGCTGGATCAACATCATTAACTGCAGCAGTCTCGTCATTAGTAGCTGGATCAACACCATTAACTGCAGCAGTCTCATCATTAGTAGCTTGGTCGACACCATTACCATTCATGGCTGTATCAATATTATTAATGTCGTTGTATCATCCCTGTGTTAGCCACTTTACAAGCTGTGGCTCATCATAAGCTTCAAAATACTGTTCCCAAGCATTATCACCAAATGCATTGCCATCATTTTCATCACTGCAAGTTACGGAGGATACATGAACAAGGATATATCATATTATTATTTTATGTTAATATATAAGTGATGAAGATATTTACCACAATAAGCTATATACACTCGTACCACCATATATGGAGTTATGATTATTATGAAGTGCTAAACAAGTGCAATAGTTGAACAAAATATACAGTGGAGATATATTGGGTTTCATATTGAAAACCAACCCATAACCAGTGATGTTTATATTCGCCATTCAGCACCTATCTGAAAACTGAGTAACATATTTCAAAGAAAAAAGATATTTGTAAAAAGTGAATAATTACACGAAGGATGTTTCTGAGGGTTGATTAAACATAATGTGAATTTTCAGGACATCTTGTGTTCAAAAAGTGAACTGAGAATCTGAAGACAAAAATTGAGATCTATAAGTATGTGTAGGATTTAATTCTGGTCAGGTGCCAGGGAGTTGAGACTGATTAAAAAGTTGAACTCCATCAAGTCGAATCGGGAAGCTGAATTTAATGTCAGTTATCCCATTTGTGAGTGGTTATTTAAGGTGTTACATTAACAGTACATCTTGGAAAATGTATAGCATGGACTTATCACTGTTTAATATTTTTCTTTGAGAGGCCCTGTTTAATAATGAAGTTATGAATTACTACTCAATAAAATGGAATCTCTTTGAAACAGCTGTTTTTAGAGTTCATTTCCATCCATCTCATCCATTGAAACTAATTTTAGTTGTCAAGCAACGTCAAAAGCTTTGAATAAAGTTCCTGGCATTAGATATCTTTTTGAAACTTCAGTACTTGCGTTCAGTTATTTCCTATTAAAATGGGCTATTTTTCAAGTATTTTTCAGCCCTTATGCCTATAAATAGCTGACTGAATTCTACTAGAAGTACAGGTTTTCAGAATGGGATATAAACTCGTACTTACATTGATAGATGTCACTTGTGAAGTTATTCTCAGACTGCAATATGCTTTGAATTGATCAGATAAATACTTGTACCCAATCCTTGCTATAAGCTTTTGACTATTAAAATATCAATGTTACAGTCAACCACCAACTTTATTTCAGTTTTAATTCGTGGGAGTAAAGAGAATGACCATTTTATCTATAGATAAGATTTCATACTTCGCATAGTTTAAAGGGTTGAATAGGACATTGATATTTTCAATTGTTCTCCAGCAACAACTTGGTTGTGATTTTAAGATCAAATCCTGGATACAATAAATAAAAAAATAATACTGTGAACTTGATTTTTATATTATGAGTGCATGAAATAAGTGGAAGCATGAAATAAATAAGTATGATTCCCAATGTCACTGAATTTAAAACAAAGAAATTCTACAAATTGTAGTATGTACAATAATAAGCATGAACTTGTACAACGTGTTCATTTGTATTTTCAAATTTTACAAAATGAAATTTATTCAAGAATTATTTTTCATTGCCAATTTCTGTAAATTATTTTTCTATTGTGACAAGGGTTGGTTGGCCTCAGTACTTTATCTAGAAAAATACTTGGGTGTTTTTTCTACTCTAATTTTTTACATATAATGACTGTCTTCCTGTTGTTCATTTTTGTCATTTTTTGTAATCACTTTTATTTGTCATTGTTGTTGTATTTGCGTTTCACATGTTCACCATCCTTGTATTACGTGTTCATTCAAACCATTCACTTGTTCCCTTATACATAACATCTTTCATGAATTCATGGTACTATGTAGAAGGGGTCTTAATTGCCATGTGCATTGACGTCATGGAGTTAAATGAAATGTAATGAGATATTATTTTGCAGGTTGACCCCTTGTGCCATGATCACGTCAAATTACTTCAAATCATACCTAATAAGGGAGTTCATGTATTTGTGTACAGCTCCATCACATTCTGACTGTATATAGTATATAGTTAATTTAAACCATGTGAATAGTGTACATTACATGTGTAATATATAACTGTACAGAGTTATTTAATGATTTCTAAGCTATTTTGTACTGGTAGAAAGATGTAGGACACACATAGATTATTAAAAGGCTGAAATGATATTTAGAATTTTAGATCAAAAAGGACAGGGTTAGATATAGTTGATGAAATGATTCAAAACCATTTGTCTGCAGATTTATGTGGCAAAATACCTAGTTTTACTGTCTATGGTTTATAGTTTGACCAGAGGGACATCACTTCTTTTAGAAAAAACTTTTGACAGCATTGTTGATCAGAATTTACTAGTATTTAGTGGTGATATTGATGGGAGATTAAAAAATCAAGTTTGACTGATAAATAATCTGATTTTGGTTTAATGGTAGTTTCATAAATTTCTATAGTAACCTATCTCTAATGAAGCTACTTTCTGCAAACTGTGAAGCTTTGTAGTAGTTGGTCATTTGTAGGCTGACTCATCGATGAATTATGAAATGTATAAATTAATGGATTTTTGTAAAAGTTCACACCTTGAATCATTTCAATTTCAACAGCGTATTCATTTACTTTATTCAGGGTTTCTAAAACATAAAGATAAGCTTCATAAACCATATCCCTTCTGTTTTTTTTAATCTCCCATACATATTTTTGTAGCCCATCTTGATAGGCCCTCTTCATTTAATGATATTCTAAATGAGGCTCTAAAGTGAGTCATTAGCAGGTGTGGTCAATTGCCAATGTAGAAAATAATAAGGGCTTTATCAGTTTATTACCCTCATTGTATTGTATTGATGTTGGGCAGAGTTCAGGATGACTCAACATGTTTATATAATAAGATAATGTATGAAATTGTATAGTTTTATAAAAGCAATGAACTGTTTCAATCATATTTAAGATTTTGTTGTAGAAAAAATAAAAGCCTTTATATAAAGATAACATTGATTTATGTATGATAAAGAAGAGGAAGCACTTTCATCCACCTGAGTAGAGTCAGATTTCATTGAAGAGGTTGCCATAGTAGTATATGATGAGAAAAACTGTTCAGTTGAAATGTTCTTATTTTGAAGTATCCAAAATAATTTAAATCTAGAAAAATGAATGAGACCTGATGAAGTGTAATGATGGAGCAGTTGTAACTGTAAATAGGGTTAAGTAAAAAAGATCATCTTTATTTTTAAATTTTTCCAATGTAAACACTTATTTATTGGCCCTGGTTTTGATCCCCAACTCTCTCATCGACTCAAATGAACTTTTTTAGTGAACACCTGCTACTCAAAACAGTTTTGTCTGGTCCAAGTGGCATTCAAAAACTCACATATACCACTTTGTCCATCCTTCCTCCAAGGGTGTTTCACTTCATTCCGTAGCTGCTGTATAGCAGTAAACCCCAATCTTGAAGGATCTACTTCATCCAATTAGAATCTATTTTTTTTACTCTTACATTGACCTTTGAACTATCTCTCAAAGTCCATTGACATTTTCATATAATTTTATGGTGACCCCTGTACTTGAGTATTATATTGGCAGCTGTAATTAAAACCAGCAGAAAAATATTAAATATTTTTAGGGACACATCTGGTTTTTAGCTCACAATATCTTTTATTAATATAATTAAAAATATAATTAAAACCAGCAGAAAAAAGACTTTAAAATAACATGAATAATGATGGAACATTTCAAATAAGCTTCATCTCAACATGACTGGAAGCTATCTCTTGAGGACCTTGTTGGTAATTTCTGTATGTTTTGTTGCGGAAAATGAAGCAAGTGAAAGTGTACTGGAGAGATATTCAAGAGAGCTCAACGATCCAAACCTGGTAAGAATGAAGCTATAATACAGTTTAACCTTTGTAAGTGGAAAGCCCTTGGGACCACAGCGTTCCACTTGCAAAGGTTCATTAACATGCAGCCAATAGGCTCCAGGACTTAAAAACCTGTTCCACCTACAGAGGTGTTCCACTTAGCAGTTTCTACTGTAAAATATTGAGCAATCTTGAAATGGCAGGGTAGAGTGGAAAAATTGTACACCTTCATTTATATCATAAATGAATAACTTGCAAAAAGTAGGCCTTTTTAGAGAATTCAAGGATGAAGATATGGTACATATTCTGTTAAAAGATGGCAGCTTTGGACTGTGTTAAAGTATTTCTTCATGTCTTCAGACGCATGAAAATGATGAAAATTGAAAATTGTTTCAAAAATTTTTTTGCTTTTAAGCATTCAATTGAATACCAATTCAATAATCTATGTTGTAACATGGAGCCATTTCACAAAATATGCAACATTTTTGATATACATTGTTTGTTCTTTATTATTTGAAATGAAGAAAAGGTTTTGTGTATACTTTTCAAGACTGAAAATAAACACGTTTTTTATGTAACTGTCCACAACATGGTGGCTATAGGTTCTCTAGCTTCAGGCCAAAATAAAAATGATTAGAAAAATGTTAAAATTTCTGTATTTTCTAAAAATTGTATGAAGTTTCAGGTTTTTTTTAGAAGACATGCACAAGCGGGAATGATATGATATAAAATGATACTGAATAAGACACTCTAGAATAAGTTGCTCTCTTTGTCTGATATTACATCATACACATATATTTCAGCCTTCAACCGGTTGTGCAGAAGAAAACTTTTCAGCATGTGTCCAGGTGCAGAGTGCATTCTTCAGGGCCATTAGCATTACAGACATCACAGAAGATGTCTTCTGCCAAGGGCAACAGGTAAGCTGGTTTTCAATTCTAATGAGGTACTTTAAATGACAACAATTTTAAAGAAAATTTTGTGATTATAATTTCCAATACTGTAATTAATGAAACAATTGATATTTTCACATTATTTGTGAAAGTTTACATTATTATATTATGGGAGAATACATAGTTTCAATTCAAAATTAGAAAAAATATTATTTTAGTGAATTAAAATTGCAATTTTTGGGGAGGTACTGAACTTACTTAGGTAGACCTAGTGCACTATGAGAATCCCTGATATTATCATGATAAGACTGTAGCTACAAATAATAAGTCAAATGGTTGATGTTACACATAATAGTAGAATAAAAACATTTGAATTGAATTGAAATATATTCCACTTTTTCAACTTTTTGGGGGAAAGCGTTGAACTACCTTAATGTAGATCCAGATGATTGAGAAGTTTTATGCAATTTTCATGATATTCAACTTTCAAATGAAATTGTTGATATTTCACTTATTCACTGAATCCACTGTTAAAATCGAGATATTTCAATAATATGGAATTGAAATGATATTCCATAACTTCTCAAAAACCTTTTGTGGGAAGTGGCAAACTACCTTAACCTGTCATCATTCACTTCAATACTTTTAATTTCTATTTTCCCATTCTAATTACAGTTACTTTGCAATGTTTTACACACATACATAAATAGTATCATAACCTTCTCTTTGCTTCCAGAAATTTGTTGACTGCATAGCGGCCAAATGTCCCAAGGGCAGTGATACAGTGAGCTCTTTAATGATCTATTTGAGAGAGTTCCAATTGATGAACAAGCAATACATGTGTCCAAACCTTGCATTCGAAGCTTTGATGAAAGCTACATGTAATTTACTGCATCATTTGAATTAAACATACCCTTTGCATTCGTTCGACTTCACTTCTTAAAAGAGAGCTTCGTCTTTGTAGTCTATAACTAAACTCATCGCGCAGGGTAAATTATTACCTTAAGATTTTAAAAATATATTTTGATAAATAAGTGCAGGTTACAATAAAATGAAATGAAACATTAATCTAATTCAAGGATAGATTGAAAAATAAGTTCAAACTATTGGTTATTGTGTAATTAGACTCCAACATACAGATAAAATGAGTGAAAGCCATGGGTCAATTAAAATCCACCATACAGGTACAGGCATTGTTGGTAGGAGCAATAAAATAATTCAATATTATAACGTTTTTATTGTATGCTCTTAGCCCAATACATTTTACCTAGGAGATTATTCCAATGAAATATTCTGTATTCTCTGTATTGCTACTGAGATTGTCTTCTCTGTACAAATATTTTTTGTATCGCTATTATTATATGGAGATGATCAATGGGGATAATCTCAGTAGCAATACAGATTGGTATGGCACAAGAACTGACCAATCAGAGGGCTTCATTTTACAGATCATATGATAAGATCATATATAGTACTATGTCACCACCATAAATGGTGACATAATTGGTATAGTCCCAACTTTTTTTCTGAATGGTGTTCTGCATTTGACAACATTCAGTGTATTAAATGGCAGGTGGTGATATTTTGCATGTTATTGCCTTGTTCATTTATCATTTATTTATTTATTGTCATGGGGACATTAGAAAACAACATTATTAAATAAAAGTTACAATTGTTCAAAGATATTTCAAAATCATAGATACCATTGCTACTGTAAAAGAAGTATTAAAATAAAATTATGAGCAAATACTATGAAATATTGAGGTAAAAACATGAGTATTTATTTAGTTTTCAATTAAAAGATCCGTTTTATTCATACTCAAACATAAGCATATTGTTTTATAAATAATCTTTCATTGATAAAAAGAGAAGTTTAATTGATTACCTTTCATTATTTAATAACTGATTTCCGACAAAGTATGCGTTCCGATAATCTCAAGGATTCCGAGTCAGATTTCAACATTTTCAAATAAGCCGAGACACGATTCTTTCTAGTGGAGACAAGAGTATTTAAAAAGTACATCTGAATAATAAAAAATGTTATTCTCATCAACTTATTTGCATTTTTTGCTTTGATGAAATAAAAACAGGATTTGATATTCATCACCCGCAATACAATTCCATGAATGGGTGAAATTAATATGTAAGTTATCTATCGTGTAGTAATTAGAGTAAAATTATTTCTAATTCCAACTCAATTAGATAAACATGCAGATTGAAGGATTTATCTTTTATATTTAAAAATGATTAAATCTCTTAACCATTCATAAAAATGTAAGTCAAGAAAAGGATGAAATGCCACTGCCACCTGCCAAGCTGGGCATAATATTGATTAACACATTTAACTCCCATAAAATTGCCCCATTCATTTCACATTCAAATCCCATAAAATTGCCCCATTCATTTCACATTCAACTCCCATAAAATTGCCCCATTCATTTCACATTCAACTCCAATGAAATTGTTCCATCCATTTCTTATACAACTCCCATTCATTTCAACTTCCATAAAATTGCCCCATTCATTTCACATTCAGCTCCCATACAATTGTCTCATTTATTGCACATTCAGCTCTCATAAAATTGCCCCATTCATTTCACATTCAGGTCCCATTCATTTCACATTCAGCTCCCATACAATTGTCTCATTTATTTCACATTCATCTCCCATAAAATTGCCCCATTCATTGCACATTCAGCTCCCATACAATTGTCCCATTCATTTCACATTCAACTCCCATACAATTGTCCCATTCATTGCACATTCAGCTCTCATAAAATTGTCTCTTTTATTTCACATTCAACTCCCATAAAATTGTCCCATTCATTTCACATTCAGCTCCCATACAATTGTCCCATTCCTTTCACATTCAACTTCCATAAAATTGTCCCATTCATTTCAATGTCCATGAAATTGTACCATTAAATTTGATTTCAACTCCATTGAAATATCCATTTGAGTTGTTTTGAGCTTTCTGAATCAAAACTAAAAAAAATCTTTAATCAGCATTGCCAGAGGTTAGTTTTGTAAATTATAATGGGAATAAAGAATATAAATTAATTGAATACCTGCAGTGAGTGATCTTTAGAGACCTCTTTTTGCTTCTTTCCCTAGAATGTTGTGAACTATTTTTTTTAATATTGGTCCTATGTAGACAAATGTAAAATGATGATCCAAAAAGACAATTTTGTTTGTCTCACCCTGTACACGTGAGTGTATTTTTAAATCACTTTTCTCTATTTTAGATGGTAGCATCGCATCAGTTGAGGAGTTGGGTAAGTTTTTATATAGACTGATGTAGCTCAATTGGATTTTACTCAGACATTTGCATCACAGAGACACCCAACTATTACAGAATTCAGATCTGTGCATTGTACAGTCAGACCAACACTTTTTTAAAATACCAGAAATACCAAAACACGGGTTACCATAGGAACCATAACTTTTGACCAATCAAAATAGAGTAATTTATTTTTTGATTTCTAATGAGTATACATTTCCTCTATGTTGTGTGAAAGTTTCAGGGAAAAACATTGAAAAATAAAAAAAATGAGAATGTTTTTGCATGAACTTATTGAACGACCTGGTACATGTATTATGCAACCACAGTCATTACACATGCATTTAACTGTCTGATTCATGCGTTACACAGTCAGGCTCAAATCATTCAGAAGTGTGTCTCCTTTCATTCTCACATTGATTCTACTGAGGCAAAGTTATGAATCAGGCCTTGTTACTTTAACTTTGACTGTTTATATTGTAGAAGCAATTCCTGAAGGTAAAAAATTAAATGAAAAATATTTGGTAAAATTAGAAAAAATTCTTCACATTTCCACATTCATCTGTCAATTACTTGTAATTTCAGACTCCTATGTGGCTGCTACAAATGAGTGTGAGGCAAAGGTCTACAAAAGATGCCTGGTTAACTATGCAGAGAGTATGTCGCTAGGAATGAACCCGTGTCTCGCAACCATGCAGGCGTATCATTGCGTCGAACGAAACACAGAGATGGCCTGCCCTGGTGACAATGTGGCGGCAAGGCCATATGAAGTTACAAGTGAGTTTGAAAATGTTGATTCAGCTTAAAGGAAAGCATTGAAAAATGACTCAAATTGAACCAATGAATAAATATTTAATGTTGTTACCTCCCTTGAATTTGCTACACAAATTAAATTAAATTCATGCTACCAGATGATTTGCCAGGTTCAGCATGTCAATAAGTTCGACATGGCTTGCGATGCATTTAGTGTATCTTTAAAACTCACACAGTATACAGTATATAAAATTGAAATCAAAATTGAAATCAGGATTTTGAACCTGAGTGAACATAATTTGAAAACATATAACATAAAGAGAATACAAAGATTATGAAACTATATATTTTCAGGGGTCCTGGCAAATAAAGCTTTTGCGAAGCTTGTTCTGGCTGGAAAGTGTGACAAATTCACCAATACATGGAAGTATACAGCCCAGAGCATGTATGACATAAAACAACAGTTTATGCAGCTGATGACGTCATCCAGTTGAATAACATCATAAAATAAAGGACATTAACCATATCCAATAATGTATTTTAATTAATAATATTTCCTCTTAGATCATTTATCAATAGAATCCTGATGTCTTGATTTAAACATACAAAATGAATGAAAGTTAACTTTCCATAAAAATAATTATTTATTTTCTGTATTTATAACTAAAAAAGATTAATGTTTAATACAATTGAATATTTGAATATGAACACCATTTTTATGTGACATTTTTTCTAGGGTGCTTGGCATTTCTGCTCCACAAAAAACAAGATGTCTAATTTTATAGCATTCAAACTTTTTGCTTGTGCCTGATATCAATGTCTGTCACAGGCTCATGTAGTACAGTGAAACATGTATATCCAAACACCTCTCTTATCTGATACCTTCATAATGTGTAAACTTTTTCTTGGGCTTAAATTGTTGTCTCCCATTAAATTACAGGTTTATAAACCTTGAAATCTGAACATTTGTTAATCCGAACAGTTTTGGCCAGTCCAAGAGGCATTTGGATTAGACAGGTTTTACTGTAAATTATACTGTATGTACAATATACATCAAAAGTGTCAAATTATCTGATATAGTTAGAGGGTAATGTGGCTAGCTGATTGATTTCAAGGGTACTGTAAAGTATAAAGGAGAATGTTAAATTGAGAGTCAGGACATGGAAGAACATTGCAGGGGAATTCATGACAATGGTTAATAAGGCATTAAAATGCAAAATGTCAAACACCTGCCATTTGTTGCACATACCGAACAACAACAGTCAGATTGAGAACGCCATCCATAAAGGGTTTGACATTATAACACTATGTCATCACTTGTGGTGGTGACATAAAAACATGATGTCACAATTAAATATACAGTAAAATCTGTAAAGTGGAGCATATCAGCTCTCTAAGTATAACTACTCAATAATAAGAACACTTTTCAAAGTTCAGTTTCCCATTAATCTAATGTAAAATGAATTTCTACGGGTGCCAAAGGTGTTCCACTTACAAAGGTTTTACTGTATTGGCATTTAGTCCATTGTCCCCCAATGAGCAACCAGATTTCAAAGTACAGTAGAAACTGCTAAGTTGAACACCTCTGTAGGTGGAACCTTTCACAAGTGGAGTGGGTTTTTAAGTGTTCTTTGGCCAATTAATTCAATGTTAATGAAGCTCCATGACTGGAACACCTCACAAGTGCAATACTTTTTTGTGGTCCAATGGGATTCCACTTACATTCACAAAGGTTCTACTGTACAAAGCTGAAAGTGAAAAATGGTTGCAATTGGCAGGCAGGTGTGAGTTTTGAACCCTGGAAAAAGGCAATGTTTATTGACAGGTAAAACATCAATATATGAATTCTTATCTGAATAATGAATAAGATAAAGTGGGCATTAATATTCGAATCTATTCTTTTCTATTCAAATCAGATAGGCTTTGTACTGACATACAAGAGAGATCCTTTTGAGAGTCATATCATCTGAGGTTAGACTTCATATAAATAAGATTATTTGGGACGCCCGCCCAACCGCCCGCCCACCTGCAAACTGATTACAATATAGCACCTTAGGGTGCGATATAAATACAAGGAAGGGTTGAATGTGCCTTTTTCACAAGTAAAAATTAGTTGGAAAGTTACACGGAGCAATCCACCATTTTAAACAAACTGGTATGTTGTATGCAACTTTTATGAAAAACAGAATATAAGTATTTTGTTCATATATTTTGTAAAATATAACATATTCACTAACATTCTATTAAATGCATACATAGTAGACTCAATATTTTATCATTTTAAGTGAGTGAATTTGAGAGAAGCATTAGTCATTTACTTTGTCCATGCTGGTTCTTGTATATCTCATAATTTTCTTAGAAAAAGATCCCTAATCTGTTCGTATATTCATGGATACCAGAATATGCAATCTGTCAACCATTTCATGCAACTTTTAGTACGGTACCATCTTAGAATAATTGAGTAAAAATTAATAATTGATGTAAACAAACTCAAGTTTATTTAATAAAGTCTTGTTTTGTTGACTTGCTGACTTTGTTTTCTGAGTACACATCTTCTCCAGTTTCTATAAACTTAACTTATATTAAAAAGCCATTTGACTGACATTTTTTACAATGATTTAATATGACGTTTTCTACTGTATACTGTAATCTTAACTGTGTATGCCTCAGCATACTAATGAAACAACATTTACTAATGCTTTATAGTGAATACAACAGTCTAATTAAAATAAATGCATTATTGAATATCATGGAATGATTCTAAGAGATCTAATAATCAAACTGATCAACTCTGAGATAAAAGTTTTATTTTGCAATATTGTAATTTACTTTACTTTATAAATACATGTAGTAAGCCTAAGAAAATTTTACATGACTTTTAGTAAGCTTAGTAGACTCTGTCATGTTTTCATAAGAATTAAAAAACATGTTTTTCAATATCTACATATACTGCTTAGGCCTATATCTATATTCTATATCATGGCCTATGATACACATGGAAAGGTTGATAAATCAATTTTAATTGCAAACTAAAACTTCCTTGTTTTGAATATCAAAGAACATTGATTTCATATTATCAATTTCTGATTGTCTAGCCTTGTGCCTGAGTAGCAAATCCCACAGAACAAAATATATTTTTAAAAATACCTTGTCATTTTGGCCATTACATTTCATAAATAGTGGGTAAAGTAAAGGGGGGGGGTAAAGTCTTGAAGCAAGACTATTCCCTGAAAAGTATCAGATATCTTGAATTAAGCATTCCTATGCATCTACACATAATGCCTGGGTCACATTTGCTCCGATCCATCGGCCGGCGTCCGGCCGATTGAGTGTTTTGCTCAATATTGTATTCAATTTTGAACAAAATACTCAACCGGCCGGGCGCCGTAGTGAAAATTGGAGCAAATGTGACCAAGGCATTACATCTGAACCGAATCTGACAATTGGTATATGAGTTATAGAAAAACATATTTTCATAAAATAAGATGGCCATTTTGAATATCAGCAGTCATTTTAAAAAATTCTTCTTGAGCTGATATTTATGTCCATATGGCATCAGCATATGAAATTTGAAGCAAATCTGTCATCTGGAATTTGAGTATAATATTTTTTAAAAGAAATGTGGCCATTTTGAATTGAGTGGTCAAATTAGAAATCCTCTTGAGCAAACATTAGCCTATACAATTTGGACCGAATCCTATTACCATTACTATTTAAGTTATTAATTAATAGTACTGTGGGTACTGGGCTCACATGGTGGCATTTTTCCATGAAAAATGGTAGCCATTTTTAAATTCAGAGGCCATCTTGAAAATTTATTTTGAACAGGCATCAGCATATACAATTGAGCAAAATCCGTCCAACAGTATTTAAGATATTGTCTGGACACACAAATGGATGAACAAATGGAGAATCTATATCCCTACAAACTTTGTTCGGTGGGATAATTACACTTTCTAGCTATGTATGTAACTGGGACAAGTTACAGTAGCATTTCTCAATTCAAGAATGAATGTCCATCTGGCAGTGTTCATATTCAATGTTAAAAGTTTATTTATCACAGTCATATTTTTAGATAAAACTAACATGTTTTTTTTGCTTGGGGGGGGGGTCATCTCAATAATGATAAATTAATGATAAATTGATGATAAATTGGATCAACTTTTGAGACCCCCATGTCCATATGTCCAGCAGCAGTTCCAAAATTTCCCACTGAACTGACATGAAATATTTGAAAGTAAGTTTTATCTAAAAATATCTCTGTGATATAATTGATAAGTATAGAATTTTAATTTAACATTTCTCAATAGATGAACAGCTCTGTATCATGAACACTTTTTCAAACACTCCATTTTTATTCTTTCCACTGCCCCCCCCCCCCTGTTAAATCCACTTCTCTAAGGTGAACACTTCATTATGTGAACACTTTTTATTTGATCCCAAATTGTTCACCATAGAGGGGTTTTAGTGGGGTAAGTGGGATAGAGAAAACTGGAACTTGAAAACCGTTGACATTATAGGAATTTGTGCCCAATTTGTTTATATTCAGTTCTGTAATCATTTAATTGTACGTTTCTGGTGCTATTATGGTCAACGAAAGCTTATGGAAAACAACTTTAATTGCATGTGTATCATTCATTATAAATAACTGAATCAGAGGTAAGGAAGGTATTCGAATCTGGAAATTAAATTACAAATTCACATTGGTATTTTTCTATATTATTTAATCACAGGCTGGTATCGAAAAATTTGTCCGCTGTGACGGAGCGTGCTATTTTGCATAGAAACACTAAGAAACCAACACAATTTATTTTTTTACTCATATGTTTCGCTATACCAAAGAAAGTTTCTTACTCAGTGCAATGGGTATATCATTTGCGGGTAACTTTAACTTTTGTTTGAAGTCCAACAACGCTAAGAGTAAGAGCTATTGAAAACGGCGCTGGGGTATCATGCTCCAAAATGTACCATTTCTTTAATTTCTTTTTAATGGTACAATATAGCGACACAATAATATTTACATATGTTTTAAGGATAACTCTGAAGGTATTAATGATATCTTGATGTATTGGGTATTTTTAATATTTTTTATAAAAAATAATGTTTACATTTTTTGTCCGCTTTGACGGAGCAGTTTTAACTGTGAACTACGTTAAGAATTTAAGATTCAAATTATACCTTTTAAAAGTACCATAAAGCCCGGTATACACCAATGGGGCAAAATCCCACTTGCCCCATCGAGTCCCATCTTGCCCCATCAAATCCCAATTTGCCCCATCGAATCCCACGAAGTCCCATGGGACCTTGATGACTTTGCCCCATCGTGCCCCATGGAGTCCCATCAAGTCCCATGAAGTCCCATCAAATCCCACCGTGCCCCATTGGTGTATGTCGGGCTTCAAACAACACGTCATATGATCGAAAATCCCACGATGCCCCATTGGTGTATACCGGGCTTTAGAAGAGAGAACGTCACAAATCACTTTCCTAAATTATGACAAGTAGCCTCTGGGAGATCTGGGGTAATGTAAATCTGAGATATAAAAACTCTTAGCATTTTTCGGAGGTTTGTACTGAAATCAACATGAATCAACATGGTGTAAACTCAACATAATATTTCTAATACGTTTTCGCCAAGACATCTTAGAATGTCACGTGTAGTGTAAATTGTTACACGGAATATGGCATACATTCATGGTTGCGCGGTATTTGTGATACGGGTGAATATGCCATACTCACCTGCGGTATATGGCATATTCCGCAGGTGAGTATGCGATATTCCGCAGTGAATATGTGATGCATTGAATTCAGTGAATACCCGATACTCACCTTCAGAATATGTCATACTCACTTGCGGAATATGCCATATACAGCAGTTGAATATGACATATTCCGCAGGTGAAAAACGTGATACAGAAAGACTTGGTTTGATTGGTTGCGAGAATCGACTCTGAATGTAATCCTGGATTGATTGGGTAAGTTTATTACGTGAGATTGGTGAGTGATACTTCTGCATACGTTGATGTATTCGATAAACTGTACTGTTGATTCAGTAATCATTTTAATAATTTATAAAGTTTTACTTGTTCGTTCAATCGATGCAATTGACAATTGCATACTTCCGTATCACGTTCTCATTGGTTATTGTGTATACCATATACCACAGGTGAATCTGTCATACACCGCAAGTGAATATGGCATATTTTTGTATCGTGTTTAAATAGGGATAATATGAATTTATTCGAAATAGCGCACAGACATCCTGCATTCCGACAGATGTATAACCTTTTACCAAATAATATTACTGTATATAAGTTACCATAAAAAATGATCATGGAGTATGATACTCCGACGCCGTTTTCAATAGCTTTTACTCTTAGCGTTGTTGGACTTCAAACAGAAGTTAAAGTTACCCGCAAATGATATATTCATTGCATGGAGTCAGTAATTTTCTTTGATATAGCAAAACATATGAGTAAAAAAATAAATTGTGTGGATTTCCTAGTGTTTCTATGCAAAATAGCACGCTCCGTCACAGCGGACAATTTTTTCGATACCAGCCTGTGTTAATGAATCTAAAAAAGGTTTTTGAATAATCATAATCATTTAAAAAAAATCAAAACAGACGCCAAGTTTAATAGCACTGTAACCTTAATGTAAAGGATTTTTCCAATCTGTACCATAAACTTTGAATTTTCTCATTAGATCAAAATACTCATTATACATATCAAATGTCCTATAATCCTCGCACAATTCTTCACCTTTTTTAATATCCCTGATGGCGACATCATAGTCATATCCGCCTATATTTGGCACATCACAATGGTTCACATATGTAATAGGGTTCAGCTCCAGTATATGGTATTTTATAGAATTTAGATAAAATGTATGGGTGATGATGAATTCCATGAGTTGATCGGACACCTGCTTTCCAAAATCTTTGATAAATATATCCTGTCTTATAAGCAAACAAACTGGCCATTTTGGTGCATCCGGAGCGCAATCCATATAAGTTAATTGTGTACCTTTAGGTATATCCTCCATTGCATAAACTCCATATCCTTTACTGGTTTCATTGGACAACTCAAGCTTTGTTTTGACCAACAGAGGACAGTAACAAAGTTTAGTTTCATCCGGTGTTTTTCTCACCGACCCTAAGTAAAGTTCATCAATATTCAACAATTGTAAAGCGTTCAGTGCTAAGTGTTTTAGTAATACCAGCAGTGTAAATGTAAAGCACATTAACACAGATCCGTAATAATATTTCATAATCATTTTTCTTCAATTCACACCTGTTACTCAGTCAATATTGTAAAATTATTTTATCGGTGAGTCAACTTTATTCTTTTAAATCTGTTTTCTCTTAACTCAATTATTTCAATTGTTCAATGGATGGTCATCTCTCACAGCCATCAATAGTAATTGCTATTAAAACCTGCAGCTTTATAGTCAATCTCCATAAGGTTAGCAATAACTCCAATTGCATTGACCCTTTTATTCACTTACATTGACCTTTTTACTTAGCTTAAACTAAAGCAAAGTTCCTATTCTTAAATCCATGTTTGTTATTACACAGTCTATTTACTTTAGATTCAAAAATAATGACGGGGTCATTTGATTTAACTTTCAAATAAATATAAAACTCTCGAAGTTGATCCTCCGCATACATGAATTATATTATTGGCTATACGCGTAATTTTCATATAAAAGAAGTTAATTTCTTATTGCTGCATGTACATCATTTCCATCTGTGATTTTAATCACTTGTTCAATCTGAACTGCATGAATAGAGACCAGTTATCCCAAGCATGTCCTCCTTTTAATATATGTACGCTCACTACACCAACGCAATCAAACATTACAGATACGAATCAATTAAACATTTCCGTTAATGTTGGCTTCATGAATTTATGTGTTTTTCCAAAGCAGCAAGGACTGGGCAACTGAACTGAGAACAACAATGTTTATTTAATCAATTAAGTGTTTTAGCTGATTTCCTGATTTGAGGCCAGTGACTTCAATTTTATCCATTTGTATCCGTTTCAGTTCGGGTGTCCCTGTTCCAATCAATATCCAACAGTCCAATGCATCATCATACATATGTCATAACAAACATGTTTGTCGTCCAAAAAGCCAGATAGATGCATACTGGCATATGTCACAGAAAAGTTTGAGCAAAATTAGATTTAAGTGGGTTTCATCTTTAAATGCACAGTGCCACTTAATTTAATACTGAAAAATCAGTTGGTTTATGTCATAATTATCAATATGTATTTGACCATAAAACAACACCTAATACGAAAAACGTCTACAGATTGACTTTTGTGAAAGGTCATCATATTTTAACACATATTGCACAGGGATATTTCTTGTTATATATCATTAGAAAGGTTTAATTCGAATGAGCTATCAAATAAACTATACAAGGAATGACGCAACAGTTGAAGTTTTCAATGATAACAGAAGTTTCAAAACATGCAATAACTACCTATTGGTATGAAAATGTATGACTTCTCTTAAATGTACTGTTTTAATCAGATGTATTTGTTTTCAGTAAAAACAATAAATGACATTTAGATTCAATTCTAACAATACTATCTATCAATATGTAATTCATTGATGAAATGGATATTGAGTTAATCATCTCAAAAACATCAGGAAACAATGCACAGTAAATCCTGTGAATTAAAACACCTCAATTAAAAATGGGGACACATTTTTGATTACATTTCGGATGTCCCATTGATTTCCATACTATCGGAATCTTTTGACAAGAACACTTTAAAATGTACATTTTTAATGAAAAAACACAGAAAAATCACTTACAAGCATTATTTTGTTATGTTGAAGGTTCAACATGGGGAAAATAGTGGTATATTTCTGTATTAATGGGGTTATGAACACCTATGGAATCACAAAAATGTGTTCACTGTAGGTATATGTGTCCACTTCAGAAAGGTTAGTTTATACAGAAGTCAGTAGAGTATGTGTGGAGGGTGTCAACTAGAGAGAGGTGTTCACTCAGACAGGTTTTACTGTTCTGTCAATATATTTTAATTTCATAGCATATTATTGTTTATGGTATGGATACTGGGTCTAATTTTTATGTACGGTTTATTGTTTCTTAATTTTCAAATTTTATTAGTATTTCAGATGGTTATAAAATACATCTTCAGATAATTTACGAGGACTTAGCACACCTGTCAGATCTATCCAATTTTTGCTTTGTCTAACTCCATTCTCATTGAAATATTTGAAGAAGAGGGTGATTCTCCTATTCTTTAAATTCATTGTTTTCTTTTCATTTGTCAGCTATTTAGATTGTACTTTTAGAAAATATAACTTTTAATCTTTGTATTTTTTTCTGTTTGAACTTGTTGTAACCGTATCTCTTACAGCCCTTAATCCGTATTGACTCAGTATAGCTTTTGTTAAAGTGAGCCAATTATTTGACTTTTATGTTAAGTATATGCCAGTCACAAGTTATATTTTAAAGATAAGTGGTGTATTTAGAGATAAGTACTTTTGATCTGCTCTTCAATTATTCATGCCCAATTGTTTGGAACTCTCGAGTGCAACACAAATTTAAACCATGAAAGATAAGCAAGATTCATATAATTTTTCAGTACTTTCACAAAAACATTTTTGTTATGAAGTTCTTCAACTATCAAACAATGTCTTCAAAAGAGGCAATTCAGTTTCCTTACTAAAGCAACAATCTTCGACAAAACAGCAGATACCCCCTCCTCCGAGGACTTTTAACACACTAACCGATAAAAATTCATCTGTGACATTCAAATGTGATCTTTCAACATGTCCCTTTCCCCCTACCATGAATGTTTTAGATAACTTCTGTGACTATCTATTCGAAGTCCAAGCTTTCCAATAGTATATAACACAAAAATCATTCAGAATGGCATTGACCTTATTTGATATCACATAAAGTTGTACAAATGTATTGTATATCCTCTTGCACAAACAAAGCTAAACCAGTACAAACCAACAAACAGAGAAATAATCCTATCGCCCAATATTATACCAGGCACAATATTTCCACTTTCAAGGTCATAGCTTGGATAATTTCACACCCCATACTCCCTCGAATTAAAACTGGAATATTCCTCCTTCTTCCACTTCCACTAACATCAACATGGAAATACACCAGAGAGCTTATTAAATAAACCAATGCCGATGTAATGCAACTTTCATTATCTATTTCACTTTTTATTGAATATTGATCGAAAAGTCAAGTAGATTTAAATTAGATCAACAATAAACATATGTTTCATTCAAGGATATCACACCAATTGTAGTAGACACATAGAAAATAATTAGTTCCAGTCTCTAGTCTCTACTTTTTATTTCATAAAACCACCGAGGCCAACCACCGAACACCAACCACCGAGTGCCATCTACAGAATTGGTTGAACATAACAATATGTGACCACTTCTGGTGGAAACATAAAAATGGAAGGATGGGAGGGGGTGTAGAATTTGATGAGACAAGGAAAATATGAACTGAATTGTAATTAAATTGTAACTGAATTGTAACTTGTAAAGATTGTAAATGTTAAATAAAATACAAGCACCATTAACTTATTGAATTTAAATAATTTCAAAAATTTACAAACTTAGCAATTACAATCATGGTTCATTATTTATTGCAAGATTCTTGGCTGAACAGCCAAGCGAATTTATAATTACAATTTTAGAGCCTGAATCAATATACATCTGTATAACAGTTCACTCTCTCATACAATTACATTACATATTACATATACAGGTACATTATTTCAACAGGAAATCATTCATCTATTTGTGCAGTTGGAGTCCAGAGAGAATCAGATCATTCAATGGCATGCCTATTTTCTAATAAAAAACTACCACACTTATTCACGGTTATACAGATATTAAGCATTTTATTTTTGGAGTTTCAGCTTCAAGCGATTTGATTTTTCATTTCTGTGGTTGACATAGCAACGCGAGTAGCGCTAAGGCGGGGCACATGGAATAACTGCAGTAGGTTCTGTGTTACATTTAGCATGGCAAACCGATTTTGACTCCATATTTAAAGCTTTCTTGGTGCATCTCCATGATAAAATTTTTCTATTGTTTTGTTTTATGATATAAAAGTCAAATAAATGCTTTTTTAATGATATTCAATGGGATTTTCATGACTTAATGCAAGCATTACATAGAAAGCGATCGGGATGCAATTTCTCTTCCACTTGGACAATTCCCCCTCCCATACTGCTGCCATAATCACTAAAGAAATTGAACAGCTGAGATTAGAGCAACTCAAGCATCCACCTTATTCACCCAAACTAGCGCCAAATGATTTATACTTCTTTGCTGAATCAAAACGGGACTTAAGAGGACATGCATTTAAAAATACTCATGCCATACGTTCACATGTGTTAAAACAGACTTCAGGAAATGAGTCAAGAAGAATTCTGTGAAGTATTTAAGGAAGGTTCAAGAGGCAAGAGTTTGTGTCTAAAATGGAGGAAATTATGTAAAATAAATTGATAAATTGGCAAAGAATTTCAGGCTTATAGTTATAACTATGTTTAAGCATCCATTTTAAGTCATAAACATGATAGAATCTCTTTTTAAAACATTTAAAACATGCAAATGTACTGCAGTTATTCCACCTGCCCCACCTTAGCGCTACTCGCGTTGCTATGACAACCACATAATTAACCAATCAAATCAACTGAAGCTGAAACTCCAACAATAAGTTAAAATATGTTAAAACTATAATCTCTGAAACTTTCAATGCATGAACAAATAAAAAAGTTATGACATTATTATCTTTATTTCCGGAACACCCTGTACAAGCCATTTGAGATTACGGATTAATCAAGTGGAGACACAATATAATACATACTGATATGAAGTGTCTGAGATTAAGCCTCTGTGACTCTGGCCCTATTACATAATGTTTTTTGAGATTACACAAATTCAGCTGTCCGGCTGTGTACATATTCACACATACAGATTGTATATTATATACAGCTGTTCAAATTCTATACAGGGAATGTGATGGAACATTGAAAACAAACATTTTCTAGCTAGAATGGTATACCTCTAGTTAAAGGTATAGGGTACTCAACTAGAAGAATACAATGTACACTGTACTATATGAATTTTAATGTCACTTTAAATGATCTACATCTTATATGTATGATATAAATATAAATACACTATTGCTTTACAAATACTAAAACAATTGGGTGAAGAGACTGAAGGTGATAATATAGTGGGCACCCTGTACATGTACGATATATTCACCTAATACTAATATCAATGGGCGAATGTACGAATGAACACAACTCATCAGATCATCGCAACATTTGGAAATTTAACATGTTTTAATATCGGTTTGAAGGTAGGGCAGTGGAATAAGCAATTTGGCTATATAAGATTTGGCACCATGCATAAGCAGGAAGAACAATGTAGATCTAGGGAAGAATAAACAAGGCATTAACATGCAAAATGTCACAACCTTCCATTTGTTACAGACACCAACCAACGTCCATAAAAAAGTTGGAGACTATAACAATATGTCATCTCTTATGGTAATGACATGATTAACAAATGCTGATTTTTCATGAATTTTTTCATGAATTTTACATGTTGCAAAACTTTTTTCAATAAAGTTTAATTGGTTAATTGACTTGGATTGGCATCATATATAAATAATTCAAAAAAAATCCTCCATTGCCTACCTTAAAACAGAGTATAAAAGAAATTAACAAAGAAAAATTTAATGCTGCAAATTCAACATGTTCAACAACAAAATCTCTCAAAAACCAACCAAGTGTAAAAACATGTGAGGCACCCTGTATAATTCAAGTTTTGTGCATTTACAACCTGGTGATAAAGCTTTGGAAATTTCTAGTACACCTACTATATTGGACCATTTAATGAAAGTACATTCTAGTTCAGTGGACTGACTTTTTCACATAATCCCTTAGCACAGGATTTCATTCTGTGTTTTCATTAACCAGTCAAATGTTACTTTAAGATGGCAGCCAGTGGGATTCAGTTCATGGTAAATTCAACTCATTAATGATTTATTGAATTATTTAATTGCTTTGGAAAATTGTGATCGGCTTTTACTCCCTACCTCAAATGTAGATCTCAATTTAGTTATAGGCATAGTTGGATATTGACTTGATCCCTAAGCTGTCAATAGCATATAATAATTGTTGTAATAATTATAATACCGGGTGGTGTTAAATAAAAATGTATGTTCTTTTGTTGAGATTACCATCATCTCCCATAAATATCTCATTATTATCTTTAATTGCATTTAATTGTAACACTTCCGAATTATTTATAGGTATTGTTATAATTCATCTTCACTTCAGATTATTATCATTATTAATTAATAGTGATTATACAGTTGTAGGTGTGCTGTGCTTTTTATAATTAATATCTTAATTGATAACAAATTTCCTGGTTGGTTATCAATGAAATAGTATGATAATTTCCTGTACAATTTTTTAACACAATTGATTATATTCATCTCATACATAATACAAGTGTAAGTTAATTTATGGATTGGTCATTCATTTAATGAATAATAGTCCTACTGATAATGTTAAAAAGAAATGGAATAATAATTTCCATTGTTGTTTTTAAAACTATTTAAATGTATTCATATAAGTGGTTTGTGGGTGTTATTTTGTCTATTTTAATTTAATTCACATCAAGACAATAAATGGTTAACTTTATGTCCAGATAAATATCAACACTCAATTCATGCCACAAATAGGGAGAAATAACCTATGATCATTTCATTTCACCATCGTGTTTTCATAATTTAGAACTGTCAGTCAGGCGAAATTTAAATAAGCTATATTTCTGGCAATCAGAGTCAATGATCTTCTTCTCTAAGCCTTAAAATGTCTTCATAGTTTTCTAGTTGATTCAACTGTTCCAATTTCTTATAAACCACTCGTAGCTCCTTCTTTTGCACTCGCAAAATCAACGATTTCCTCATCGGAAGTTGAAACATCAGAGTCTGTGGAAAATTTTGGCGAATTACGACATCCCCTAGCAAGATAGTTTTGCATTTTCCCGGACGCTGCTAGAAGTAGGCCCAAATATGGTGGGGATGGTTTCATTGGGCGAGAGAGATATTCTGGGTGGTATTGTACAGCTACATAGTATGGGTGATCTGGAAAAAACAGGCAGTAATAAATATCACATTTCAAGAGCAAAATGGCTAAGATGTAATTGAACAAGCATGCCAAAAACTTAATAAGATCTTTCCACTAGTCTGCTCTTGTATCTGAAGTTGAACAGATAAGCAGTTCATTGAAATTATACGACAGGATTCATGTGGCACCCGCATGCCCCTGCATCCATATACAGACCCAACACCTCAAAACGACAATATGGCACTTTGTAAAATGCAATAAAAATATAAAGAATGTATGAGGAGATAATAAAGGATTGTTGACAATTTAATGTCCATTTGTATAAGACAGTGTTTTTAAAACAGATAACAGATAATGTTTTTTTACCAGATTTGTGGAGAGATATGCAAGTATTCAAACACTAAATTGTTTAAGATCACAGGTCCAAACATTACCTTCGAGCTCCATAATTTCCATTCTTTTGCCATCAACATCATGGCCGACAAACTTCATCCCTTTCTCCTCAAACTGAGGTACAAGGTCGTAGTTTACCTCGTACCTATGCCTGTGGCGCTCTTCAACGTACTTGGGATTCTGGTAAAGTTTTCCTGAAAATTTTTTTTTGAAATTATGAAACACAAAAATTTCATACTGAGGTGAAGGACACTTCAAAAAACAAAATGTCTATCTAAGAGGTAAATAATCTCAGTGGTAAATAAAATACAATACAATAAACATCTACTGAAGAGACAGATAGTAAATAATTTAAGATTTTCATTTATTTGTCCTTAGGGGAATTAATGACATTCAACATTATGTGCTTGTATTGTATAATAAGGAAAAAGTGCTCTTACTTAGTATAGAGTTTTCTGTTTGGAATACTGTGCGTCTCTTTCCCAAGCGCATGGTGCCCCCCATTTGTCCTGGGTTGTGCTCTGGCATCTCTATTACCTAAAATGCAAACATTGATGTATTTCTTTTTCAATCAATTCTTAATTGTGACTTGAAATCTACCAGCCCCTTGATAATGTATACTCCAGAAATTATCTTCAACCAGAAGATAATGTCTATTTTGCTGATCTAAAGAAGTGGGGTAGATTGTTTTTAACTCATTCTAATTTTTCCATCCTTTCTAAAGGCTAAAACATAATACTTCATGCAGCAATGTTATCGCAACAATACATTAAATGGCATTTATTGATTTACAAGAGACGAAACTTGGTTTCTCTAAAAGAATCCTTTAAAAACATATTACAGTCAGAGACCAGGTACAGGAATCGACAAAGAAACAGTGGAATATTGACAAAAAAACATCAAAAGACCATGAAGCAGACACTCTTAATGGTATATAAGTAGGAAAGAAGTAGACACTCTTGATGGTATATCAGAAGAAAAACAAAACACTTTATTCAAATATAAAGAGAAATGGAATTGTGTGGAATGAGCAGACGGATATGACAATATACATACTACAGGCTTAGTGGTGCTGCTATTAAACTCTGTTGAATGTGCATCTTTCCAGCCTAGAACATTCCGTGAGAATTCTATAACAGCACACTGTAAACCCAGGCAGATTCCTGAAACACAATGCACAAGTCAGCTATATGGATTACTGGGCTTTTTGAGTTTTCAATTGTTTTGCATGTTGTTATACGATTCAATGAATAGTTATTTTTTATATAATTTTGCTTTTGTAGATTTTTATTATTCTTTGTATTGAGTTCTATCCTTTGTAAAAGTAAATCTAAGTAATTTTACTCCCAAAACAAAACCCTCTGAGCAACTATACAATATATGAATGACAAGCATAAAAGCTAGCATAAAGGTTAAATTAATTTTAAAATCTACCTAAAAATGGCTTCTTGGTTTTTCTGGCCCATTGACAGGCTAAGATCTTGCCTTCAACACCCCTCAACCCAAAACCTCCAGGTACCAGCACCCCATTGCTGCTACAAAGTTGACTCCAGGCTTCATGGTAGCGCACTGGGTCATCATGTTGTGTTGAGAGTTCTAAATCTTCTGAGTCAACATACTAAAATATCGAATTTATTTATTCAAATGAACCTAATTAGGTAGTAAGCTAGCAGCCAAAAATGTGGTTTGTGAACAAATTGAAATTACTTTGATATATGAATGGAACTGAAGATTTTAATGTCATCATTAATTAACATTGAGGAGTAAAAGAAACATGATATCTTAGAACAGCCTTTAAATTAATCGAACAAACTGAGCTAGGCTAAGCCCTAGCAGTTTTTTTTTCATTCTAAGTCACATGTAGCAAATGAACCAATCAGAGAGTGAGGAAAATGACAGCGATTAAAAAATAAAGCTAATTAGACTAACCTTTAAGTTAAGTTTGTGGTTGCAATCCAGAGCGGAATGTCTGAGGGCTTTAATCACTGATGCGTAAGAATCCTCCAGTTGGGTGTATTTTCCTACTAGAGCAATTGTTACTTCTTTCAACAGGCGGTCATATCTGAAACATTTGGTAACATTTTATTAACCATCACTCCATGATTATTAAGTGTCACAACACCTTGTACAAGACACACATTGATAAATATCACACTTTGAAGAGCAATATAGCCACCATGTTAAGAAATAATTCAAAATTCCTGTCTTCACTTTGTCAAACCTTTAATAGTAACCAAAAGTAACCAAACTACAGCAACTAATGACAAAATCTTAAAATATACAAACCTATCAGCTAAATCCTTCCACTTTACAAGATTCCGATTTCTTCTGGGGGTCTCTATAGGTAGTTTTAAAATCTCAGCTAATAAGTTGATGACGTTGTTATCATTTAACAACAGGGGTACACGATATATTGAAGTAACATCATTCACAGATAAGACTCGTTCAGATTCCACGTGACAGAACATTGAGATTTTTTCCTTGACAGCTTTAGTTAGAGGTGAAACACTCCTACAGACAATCTGGAAACATATTACAAATACATATATGGAATGGTTTCATTAGAGTTTCTGACAGCAGGTGAAACAAATGAAAACACCAGGTAAAATAATGGAAGTTCAATTTCACATTGAAACAGTTTGAAAATTTCTTAATTGTAAAGCAATCCCTTTATACAGTTTGAATTAGCAAGTGTTGGGTAATATGTTTTTTTGTATAATCCATGCTTTATCACCTTATTGTATTTGAGGCATTCACCGCAAATTTATGTTTACATTTTAATAGCCCCGACATATAACAAGAAATTTCCAATAAAAGTAATCAAACTCACTAAATCTGGTACGAGTCCTAAACCTCTTAGCTCTCGTATACTAGCCTGGGTTGGCTTCGTTTTCTGTTCACCAGTGGTGTGTGGCTAGAAAAACATAATATAACATTACATAATATGTACATGTATAGACATAATGAAAGTTTGGGCAAAATTGCAGTTTTCTTTAATGTCCCACTTTGTTCTTTTGCATAATAGTTTCAAATGTTGGTTGTATTAGTCAGTATATTGTGGTAAAATTTTGATTCAAATGTTGTTATTAACTTCAGGTTACAAGATATCTAAGGGTGATTGGCACTGTTTGATCAACTACAATTTAAAGTCAGATATTCAGTAAAACTGTCAAGTGGAACACCTCTGTAAATGGATTACTTGCAAATTGTTATTAAAAAGCCCCTTGGGACAACTTCATGTCAATGGAGCTCTGTAAATGGAACATTTTTCTGTGGTCCCAAGGTGCTCTATATACACAGGTTTTACTGCAGCTGAAAGAGCCCTAAAATTAGCTGCAAGCAAAACCAACCAGGTTACTACTATTGACCACTCTACCACTAGTCCTCTACAATACAATTCACGGGATACTAGAGTATCCGCGTATATTGAGTATGACCGGTTCTTAGGCTACGAATATGACCTGTTTTGGAAAGTCATGAGAGGCACAGCTGCTTAAAAATGGAAAATAAAGGTTAACTTCTATATTATCCTTTTTGAAATTGTGTTTGTTGAATATAGTTTATGCTGTATTTAATAGTAATGTAACAAAAAATTGTTAAACATGAGCTATTTTAGCAATGTAACTGTTCATAATGGAATATCAATCAGAAAGTACAGATTTCTCGCCTTAGAGCCAAATCATTAATATCACAGTAGAAAAAAACAAATCCCAAACCTTTTTATGGCTAACCTGAACAAGATCTCCAAATCTCAGTTTATATGATCCCCCGTAGAGTGAGCAAGAGAAGGATTTATCTTTTCCCAGAGGATACGCTTGTGAAATGTCATGGAAACGAGTGTAACACGGCCCACTGATTGATGTGATCGGAATGTTACCGGTGTAGAATACGAGTGTATGTATTGAGAGCACCTAAACTCTCCATTATGGTACCCTCGAACGTGATCGTTCAAGGTGTCCTTGCTTTTATAAATCTTGCCACACTGATCGCATTCAAAAACATCATAAACAGAGGTGTGCTTTCTGGACATATGCCTTGTAAGACTATTTTTGTGTGTGGTGTTAAATTCACACAACGCGCACAACAGTGTCTTGCGTTTTGTGGCATCGGGATCGCTAGTACCTATCAGCTGTTGAACACCTTTAGGGGTAGACTGACAAACTTTATAATATGTTTATATTTTCAAATACATGATAAACTTTTCTTTCCATACATTGTAATGTATTGGTATAAAACCTGTCTTAATATATTACTGAAATTCGATAAAAATGTTCTAAAAGCATATTTTGCCATTACTTTCGCCAACATTCTGAAATCGGGTCAACTGATTTAACCACAAATCTACAAAAGGTCTGAAATGGGACAACATAATTATAATCAAACAAGGCTATTGTTTTCGGTCTACGTTTAACTGAATTCTTTTGGAAAAAATAGGCTCTTGACACTATAAGTCATCTACTCTTATTTAGTTCTTCCCACTTTATATTGGAGACCTACTGCAAGCGTCTGAAGAGTCTCAACATTCTGGTATTTCGAATTACCTTTTGCATCTGTCACCACTAAAAGTCGTATCCAAACACCGGTTAAATGCCGATCCAAGACATTTCACAACCGTATTCTCCAATAATGGGGCACCAGTGACATTCGTATTCTCAAAAATTCAAAGATGTATCATATTTGGACAGAGCAGGCTAAATTATTTAAAATATTCATGACTAATTCGTAGATCTAGCTATATATTATACATAAGATGTGTCATCCTCTTCGGAGTTGCGTTGTGTTACACAAAAACTGATCAAAGATGCTGGAAACTAGGATTTTACGGCTTCAATCTAATATTAATACGTTTTCTCTTGATTAAGGCCCCTTGTGATATGCCTGGCATTATAAGTATACCAAGTATCATTCATTGACCAAGTAGGATAAAAAGAAAACGTTCGAAAGTGTTCATAAAAAGCAAGTACTCACCTCGTCTGTTTATAGGAACAGAAATACGGTCACACTCGTAAGCTTAGAACCGGTCATACTCAATATACGCGGATACTCTAGTTACCCGTGCAATTGTTCCTTTTAACCCTCACCAGTATATTAACATCTTAATAATCAAAAAGGTGCAATGTTATATTGCTGAAAGCTGAAAGTGTATGTAGGTCGATATCAGCTTCAAATTGTTTTTTTCTGGCTTTCTCATATCATTTTTAGGCAATTAAAATTTTATATTTATCTCTTTTATACAGCAAAGGACTGGTTAGGGTTAAAGTTGCAAGGTTAACAAGTAAACAATCGTCATGAGCAAAAATCTGATCAAGTTAAATGAGTTTGTTTAAATATAATCCAGTGTTAATCAACAATACCTGAACCAAAGTACCTACATGCTGGGGGGATCTAAACAACCAGGGCCAGAGTGCACTTTGCGTGCATGTAAACGATACCCTGATGGCCTTGTCCTTGACCCTATCCCCCATGTGACCCGACTTTTCACCATATAACCCAACCTCAAAACAGTGCCACCAAACCATGTGTCAACATTAATAAGACATTAGTAGAAATGTAAAGGAAATGTCTTACCAAGGATGGATTGTGTCCTATCTGATATGTCAATGAACAGTAAATGTCAATTGGTAAAAAAATACAAATATGAAAATGTACATTTAAAGTACACTAAAACCTTTATATATGAAGACCTCTCTAAAGAGAACAGCTCAAAATGTGAAAACAATCTTTTCTATCACATTGATTTGAAAGTCAACTTAAACTTCTTGAATACTAGAACATTTTTAATTAATATACAATTTATGAATCCTATGATGTTCATTTTTGGTAATATAACTGACCATAGAAAGACTCACATTTTAATACATACATGACGTACATATTTTGTGTGAAGTGAGCAAAATTGTCAACGAAATCCTGTGACTGATAATTCCATCACTCTTGGTATTCATGGGGTTAAATCCCACTTTATTAGAAACTCCTAATATGAGAGACAGTCATAAGACAGTAGGCTGATTTTAAAATGTTTTATTGTACTACTTTGAAAATAAACAATCCATTTATATTAACATAAACATGTGCAGTGCCTTACATCGTCAATTACACTACAGATAATTCTAAATCATGAGAAAATAGTCATTCTGGCCATGTCTATTAAACCATTTTCTCTCAAAAAACAAACAGATGAATAGTGTACATTTCATCTAGAATTTCTACTATATACCATCCAGAATGTAGACCATGAGGTGATGTCTCTCAAAACACAAAAAAACAAATGAACTTTTCAAGCATTTCTATGCAATTCAGAGTGTAAACCATGAAATTATTTACTTTAATCCTTCCTGATTCCATTATTTTCCACTGCATTTCACTTTCCAAAACATGACCGCAATGACCATTTCCAAGATTTTGTTCCGCTATATTGTGTCACTCACCTGTGGGACTAAGCTGACATGGACATTACAGAAATTGTGCTTCCCTGCTCTGAACTGGAACTGACGGAATGCTTCAACAAATGGCATGCCTTCTATGTCACCTATAGTTCCTCCAAGCTGCAAGTAATAAGAGTCCCAATTGAATCAACTGAATTTCTTTGTAATTATAACCATTGTGTGATATATGTAATGCTTTAAACTATGGACTTGAGAATAGCTGGTAAAAATAGCATAACGGTTGCACTTCTTATCTCCTTTTCTTATTCTGCATTTAGTCTATGAAACAGAAACTGTGTATGACTAATATTTATTATGATATTTACGATAACTGAGTCATGCATCGTTGCATCCAATTTTTCATGAATTTCCAACTTAGAAAAATTTCAAACTTTCAAAATAAAATAGTGATTCACGCATCAGAGTCACACATCAAGTTGCATCCAATTTTTCATGAATTTCCAACTAAGAAATAACAAACTTTCAAAATGAAATAGTAATTCCAGCATAAGAGTCACGCATCAAGTTGCATCCAATTTTTCATGAATTTCCAACTTAGAAATAACAAACTTTCAAAATAAAATAAGTGCAAACCTCTATAATGCAGACATCTGGTTCCTGTTCATCGCCATCTACTGGGACTCTGGCCACTCTTTCCACCCAACCTTGAATGGCATCTGTTATATGTGGTACGACTAAAATACAAAGGGACGTTTTCAAATGGGTGCAAGGTAAATTTTAAATTCTCTTGTATCTACTGTAAAATCTTAGCGAATGCAGTCAGCTAGGCAAAATTTAAGTACATTAATATTACATCTGTTTAGATCGATGAGTTCCGATGACATAGGAAGAAAACCTTAGCACTGCAGTACATCAGCATTCATTAATGTGCAAAAGAACACCATTCAAAAAAAAAGTTGGAGACTATAGTATATCAACCACTTCTGGTTGTGACATAAAAACCTTATATCAAAAACAAGATTGAAAAACATGTTTACATGTCAAATGGTTTCAATAGCCTGGATCAGTGGAAGATAGTATTCACAGTTTAAGGGATTCACTGTAGAAGTCTTCACATACAAACACATGTATTAATGTTATCTTATTACAAAATAGTCTTGCTTCAGCTTTCAAGACCCTGGACCTATCCCCCACCCCCCTTCAAAATAACTTACCTTGAACAGTTTTTCCGAGGTAATCTCCAGCACGTTCTTTGTTTATGACACTCTGGTATATCTTGCCTGTAGTTATATTGTTATCCTTGTGTAAAGTAACGTCTAAGAATCGTTCATAATTCCCCAAATCCAAGTCAACCTCACCTCCATCATCCAAAACAAAAACTTCACCTAAATAGATCAAAATGAAGTTAAAAATAAAATATAATACAAAAGTGTAACTATTTGTTGCAGATGCTGACTGTCAAGACCGACAAACAATTACCAAACAAGAACACAAATGTGTACAAAATGTCCCCACCTATTGGTGATCCCGTCAAATGGTTATCCTAAAAATGAGTAGACAAGACTTTACCGACACAATTTGAGGACGGAAAATCCAAAATGGCCACCTTAAAATTTACCCAGAATGCCAAAAAATTAATCAGTTCTAGATTTTCATACTAAGAACCACCCCTGAAAATTTGAAATTGATCCGTCACACAGTTAACCAGTAAACATGTAAACAAATCTTTATAGACACGATTTGAGGACAGAAAATCCAAAATGGCTGCCTTGACATTTATCCAGAATGCCAAAAACTAATCTGTTCTAGATTTTCGTACTAAGAATCATCCCTGAAAATTTGAAATTGATCTACCAAACGGTTCACCTGGAAATGCGTAGACAAGACTTCACAGACAAGATTTTAGGACGGAAAATCCAAAATGGCTGCCTTGACATTTACCCAGAATGCCCAAAAACTAATCAGATCTAGATTTTCATACTAAGAATCATCCCTGAAAATTTGAAATTGATCCACCAAACGGTTCACCTGAAAACATGTAGACAAGACTTTACAGACAAGATTTTAGGACGGAAAATCCAAAATGGCTGACTTGACATTTACCCAGAATGCCCAAAAACTAATCAGATCTAGATTTTCATACTAAGAATCATCCCTGAAAATTTGAAATTGATCTACCACAGGGTTCACCTGAAAACGCGTAGACAAGACTTTACTGACAAGATTTTAGGACTGAAAAATCCAAAATGGCCGACAATAAAAAAATGGTTATGAGTTTTTGCTGATTTCTTTTTACAAAATTATCACATATAACTACTGTTAACAATAATATAGGCATTTACAACAAAGTACACCTGAAATTATTTATAAAGCCACTAAATAGTTAAAGTATGAAAACTGAAAAACGCCATTCAATATGATATAAAGTATTATCGCGCGCTAACTTTTCTTAAAACATTCAAAATGGCTGACATGACTGAACTAACAGGTCCAAAATCTAATCAGATCTAGAATTAAGTGAGCTGAACAAGATTTTAAAGTTTTAAAAGCAACTGTGAAGCCGTTTTTCTTAAAGTTTGCAGACAAAGATTTTAGCATTTGACTTCAAAATGGCCGACATAAGTTATCCCTGAAAATTTGAAGGTGATATCTGTAGCGGTTTTGGAGAAAACTGCCGGACGTACGGACAGACGGACGGGCCTAGGCCGACAATATGGCCCCACACTATGTGGTGGGGACATAAGGCCCCACACTATGTGGTGGGGACATAAAAATGTTGGCTATAAGAACATGTTACCATTTATTGGTTGGGACATAGTAACCTAACACGATGAAGACACTGAATTTGTAACATGCCAGATTAAAATAATGGTAATGTAACTAAACCTCACCATGTTCATAAGGAGAGAAAGTCCCTGCATCAATATTAATGTATGGGTCAATTTTTATAGATGTCACCCTAGTTCCACATGATTTCAATAAAGTGCCGATACTGCTCGCAACAACACCTTTTCCGATACCACTGATCACTCCCCCAGTAATTAGTACGTATTTCATTGGTGCTTTTGAATATAACGTTGCCTTATGGTGAAAGAGTGTTGGAACTTTAGGCACTGTTACAGATGTAACAGTCAACAATGCCCTTGTTACTCGATGTAGTAATGCCAGCTCAGATTAGTTTACAATCTGAAAGCATAAATATACATGTATACAGTTAGCAGACTTGTACATATCTTTATACAGTATAGATATATGCAGACATTGTAAAAAATAAATGTTTAATCAATTTTGGTGTCACTGAGACTTCAGTGTATTGTTGACCATATATTCTCAAGTAAAAAAAGACATGCATTGGGTTTTTAACCAAGAAGATGATTGGTGATTCCATAGAAACTAGAAAAACAGTGCAACTCCAGGGAGTAGCAAATGGGTTTGTAGAAAATACCGGGTACCCCAAAAAATGGGTATGTAAAACATAGAACTAGAACAGGAATAAAGCTTCAAATTTCAGTTAAGGTATGCGTTACCTTAAGGTCAGGGTGCATGATGGGAAATTTTCTGCATTCCTCAATTGAGTCACATGTTATTTTTCAAACAAGAATTACTCCTTCCCCACATTTTCTATATCTTCCAGTTTTGCACAAAGAGTGCACTTATGTGCCTAGAAAAGACTTGTGAGAAGGATGTTTTGATAAAGTGTATAAAAAATGAGAAAATTCAGTGAAAAAAACTTCTGAAAATTTTCTGATTTTTTTCACTGAATTTTCTCATTTTTTATACATTTTACAAAACAAACCTTCTCACAAGGCTTTTCTAGGCACATAAGTGCACTCTTTGTGCAAGTTTGGAAGATGTAGACAATTTGGGGAACGAGTTATTCTTGTTTGAAAAATAACATGTGACTCAATTGAGGAATGCAGAAAATTTCCCAACATGCACCCTGTCCTTAATATGTTAAATATTCGTATTTTTCGTTTTTTGGGGTACCTGGTTCTTTTGACCGGGTATCAAGTTTGAACCCACCATGGAGGATTTACTACCCGGTATTTTCTACAAACCCAGTAGCAAATCCCGCCAAACAAAACATATTTTGATAAATAGTGGCCATCTTGATTACAGCCCTACCAGAGGCCCGAAGCAGTTTGGCCGGGCCTGAGGGCGTCCAACCAGAGACATATAAAAAAGGTAAAGAATATCAAGACACTTCGAATCAGGTATGATTTCTCATATTTTTCTGAAATAGCTGCACAATCGCCATTCTAAAATTCGAAATTTTATTCTATATCTATATCTATAATTCTGGAAGAAGGATAGTCCTGTATAATCCAGATCTTTTTATGTATTATTTTCATATCATGTTAAGGGGGGCGTTGTTTAATTGCTCACTGGACATGGGTTAGTTGTGGTGAAGGAATTTCTGTCTCATCAGGTGCTTGTCAATTCCATTCTTGAATTGATTTATATCTGTGGTGTCTATTACAGATTGGGGAAGATTGTTCCATGTGTTGACGATTCTATTTCCAAATACATTTTTTCTTACATCGAGTCTGCTATATCTATGGCTTAATTTTTCTGTATTCCCTCTCGTCATCTTATTTTCTGATTTTTGTGCAATGTCCATGAGTTTGATTCTGTCATAACCATTCACTATCTTGAATACTTGTATTAGGTCACCTCTAGTTCTTCTATATTGGAGGGAGGGGAGTTTTAGTTGTTTCATCCTATCATAGTAGCTTAAGTCTTTTAAGGTTGGTACTAACTTGGTGGCTCTTCTTTGTACTTTTTCAATTTTAATGATGTCTATATTTGTATAAGGACTCCATATACTATTTCCATACTCAAGGTGGGGTCTAACGAGGGATTTGTAGAGAAGTGGTAGGGTGGTTTTGTCCAGATGAGAAAATGTCCTTTTTATTAATCCGAGGATGCTGTTTGCCTTGGCTACTTGTATGTCGATATGTTTATGAAACTTAAGTTGATTGTCTATGTTGATTCCAAGATCTTTTTCTAACACTGTCTGTTGTAGGGTTTTATTGTCCATGGTATACTCCTGATTATCATTTTTGTTTCCTATGTGCATTACTTTACACTTGTCAGTATTAAAGGGGAGTTGCCAATCTTTTGACCATTTTGTCATTTTATCTAAGTCCGATTGTAATTGTATTTTGTCTTCCTGGTTTTGTACACAACCATACAGTTTAGCATCATCTGCATACATTAGTATTTTGTTCTTTGTAGCATCTGGGAGGTCATTTATGAAGATAGAAAATAGGGATGGCCCAAGGCAGGTCCCTTGAGGGATACCTGATACAACAGGGGCCCATTCTGACGCTTCTCCATTTACTAGTACTCTTTGAAATCTATTAATTAGAAAAGATCTTATCCATGTGAGTATTGTTCCTTGAATTCCATACGATTTCAGTTTTAAGAGCAGGCGTTCATGCGGAACACTATCAAACGCTTTGCTAAAATCTGTGTATATCGTGTCCACTGGCTTTCCATTGTCGAGGTCTTTGGTAATATCTTCAAGATAAATTAAGAGATTAAGGATGGTGGATCTATTTGGTACAAAGCCAAATTGGTCATAACTCAGAATTTCATTTTGAAGTAGGTGTTCTACTATTTCATTTTGTACAATCTTTTCTAGCATCTTCACTATTATGGAGGTTAAGCTGATTGGCCTATAGTTGCTTGGCTTTTTCTTTCTGTTGGTTATATTTTGTTTTGTTTTTTCACTTCCTTTTTTATATATAGGTGTGATATTGGCATTTTTCCAGTCTTGGGGCAAAATACCAGTTTTCATTGACTTTGTTATATAGTATTGTGAGGGGGGTGATTAGGGATTGTGCAGCTTCCTTAAGGGGGCGGGGGTGGAAACCATCAGGGCCTGGAGATTTATTAATATTTAAGTTTGATAAGTGGAATGCGACCATTTCCTCTGTGATCTCAATATTCTCCAGTTTCTTGTTGTATGTAGGTTGTGGCAATTTAGGTAAGTTATTCAGGTCCTCTTTAGTGAATACACTCGAAAATTGCTTATTAAGAGCCTCTGCTTTATCAAGGTCCGTTGTAGCCTCTGTTTCGTCATCTCTTAAAATATTGGGGAGTGCTTCTTCATTATCCTGCTTGGACTTGGTATGTTGCCAAAACTGTTTTGGGTTTTCCTTAACTTCTTGTGCAATTTTTCTTTCATATTCGTAACTGAGTTTGCGTGTGTAAGCTCTTAGGTCATCTCTGGCTTCTTGGTATCGATTTAAATTCATTTCAGTTTTGGTCGCTTTATAGTTCTTCCAGTATCTGTACTTTCTTTTGCTCATTTTTAAGACAGTTTTATTGATATATTTGTTCTTACGTTTGTCTCTTCTGGGGGTAGCTCTTGGTACACATTTTTCTATGGCTGTGTTATATGTAGTCTTGAAAAATGACCAACTATTTTCCATTGATTTGTCATTGAGATGGTATTCCCAGTCTGTTTCCTTCAGTATCTCGTTCATTTTGCTATAGTCACCTTTACTGTAGACTGGCTTTGACTTTGTTTGTTTGCGCTTCTTTTTATTACTGTAGCATGTTTTAATCAATAGGCATTCGTGATCACTTAATCCAAGTCCTGGGAGGTGTTCAAAATATTTTATTGTATTCTCACTTTTGGTGAATATAAGGTCACATATACTTGGCTTATTTGTTCCTCTGAATCTGGTGGGGCTCTTCACATGCTGCAAGAGATAGTTGTCATTTATACAGTTCATAAACGTGTTTGATGGGTGATTTTTTGGATCTGAAGTGGTAGTTGTTTCCCATTCGATATTTGGGTAATTAAAGTCTCCTACTATAAGTATATTCTCCCATCCTTCACATGCTCTGTTAATTTGCTTGATAAGTCTATCATTGTTTTCATCATTTGAGTTTGGTGATCTGTATACTTCTCCAATCAACATCTTTTGTGCTTTTGTATTGGGGTTGATTTCTAACCAAATACTTTCACTATAAATGTCAAAATCTAACGTATTTACACTATTTAAGAGTTCAGTTTTTATGTACATGATAATTCCTCTTATTTTATTTGATTGTTGAGCATTTCCAAAATTTGAAATCGTATTGTAGTTATCTATCTTAAATACTTGTTCCGTTAAAATGTCTTCGTAATTTTTTGGTAAAGCTTCAACAATGATTATCATATCTGGGTTATGCTCTTTGGCTAAAATCTTCACTTCCTCAAGCTTATTTGTCAAGGTATCAGCATTCGTGTACATAATGTTTATATGTTCATTGTTAAGTCACCATGCTGCTGCTCCGTCTGGGCTATCGGAGTCTGATGAGTTTGATGATATATTTAGATTTCTAGTTACTTGTTTCTTTTCTATAAGTGGGGGTAGAGTTGGGGTTGGCTCGACTTGTATATTCCTCGGAGGTGTTGGTAATTTTCTGCGGTGTCCAGATTTCTTTCCCTTTGGCGAAACATTTCTTATTGGGGTCGGTAACTTGTACAGCATATCTGGATTTGGGTTTTTTTGATTTAGTGTTTTATTGATATCCTTTTTGGGGGAGTTTTTATTGAGTGCTGCTATGTTGGCATCAGGGGTACTGTTGTTATTGTTATTCGTGTTATACTTTGAGACTGTCTTGATTATCTTGTTGCGGTATATTGTGATGTTTTGTTCACCTTGCGCTCTGCGGGATTTTAATTCGGCTCGGAGGGTGTTGTTATTCTTGCGCTCTGTTGGGGTTAGATCTGGTGTTATGTATATGTTGCTAAAATCTTTTTGGGCCCTCAGGTTCTTAGCTTTATATATAACTTCTCTTGTTGTGTTCGTATCTTTGACTTCAACAAGAAGTAATCTTGGTTTATTACTTTTTGTACCTAATCTTGTGACCCTTACTATCCTTGGCTCATATATATTGAGTCCATTTCCTAGAATATCCAGTGCTGATCCTTTATCACAGAGATTGTTTTCATGTGAGCTCATCATCTCTGGTTCTGGTACATTATGTAGAATAATGTTATTCTTTCTTTGTTCTTTTTCTATGTATTCATTGAGATTTTGAGATTCTGTGTTCAATGACATAAGGGGTTTTATTTCTTTGCTTTGTAGGTTCTCAACTTTGCTCTCGATATTTTTTACTACGTTGGCATAGGACTTTTGTTCTTCATTGATACCTTTCTCAATGATTTTTTGTTTTGAGATCATCTTATTTAATGTGTCCGTGATGTCTACTTTAAATGTTTGTAGTTCGTGTTTGATGGCATCAATAACAGGTTCCAGGTTTGAGGTTGGCTTTGGGGCTGGGGTTATGTTGGGGCACTGGTTTATTTGTTCCATAACAATAGGCTCACACTCGTTACAGAACCAGTGCAGACTTGGGCTTTGGGATAGATATTTGATGATTGTCTTCTTTAAGGTCAGGGTGCATGATGAAAAATTTTCTGCATTCCTCAATTGAGTCACATGTTATTTTTCAAACAAGAATCACTCCTTCCCCAAATTGTCTATATCTTCCAGTTTTGCACAAAGAGTGCACTTATGTGCCTAGAAAAGACTTGTGAGAAGAATGTTTTGATAAAGTGTATAAAAAACAAGAAAATTCAGTGAAAATATTTAGAAAATTTTCAGAAATTTTTTTCACTGAATTTTCTCGTTTTTTATATATTTTACAAAACAAATCTTCTCACAAGTCTTTTCTAGGCACAAAGATGCACTCTTTGCGCGAACCTGGAAGATATGAACAATGTGGGGAAGGAGTGATTCTTGTTTGAAAAATAACATGTGAATCAATTGAGGGATGCAGAAAATTTCCCATCATGCACCCTGACCTTAAATTATGACACTTGGGGCAACACCATTTTTTACATTTTTCGCATTCTAAATTTGCTTCATTTTCAGGGATTTTACAAAATTCACAACCTCCTACCTCCTCCTGTGTATCTTCAGCGTCACTGTGATCTTGATTTTGAGTTCGACGATTTCCTTTCCCTTCCTGTGGATGCGAGATATGGCTTTTTCCTGGACTTTTTCTCACATTTTCATTTTTTGAATTACGACCTCTATCTTGATTCTCGTTTCCGTTCTCGTTCTCGCGGAAACTGCTTGAATTTTTCTCAACTTTTTCTTGTTTTTTCTGTTTTCCAGCAAATTTTTCGGCTAATTCCATTGCTGCACTTGATAAGTGTGATTTCTCGTTTTTTTTATAACTTTTTGTCTTAGAAGTATCATATTTGTCTGAAGTGGTTAGACTTTTTTTAGCGGGAAGATTTGAACGTGATGATCGGTTCGTGAGTTCTTTTTCAGTGATTTCCGGCTCTGCAGACATCTGTTTTTCTTTGTTAGCTGCCTTCATCATTCATGCAGATTTTCTGGTCTTTGGAAGTTCTAAACCCAGTCCAGAGGGGAGCAACAACGATAAAACTGATCGAAATTTGGACAAAATTTAAAAAAGATGTGCCATATCTTCCGAATAATTCTTTGAGCTTCTGATCCTACTACATAAGAATCTGGCCGGGGTCTATGCTTCATTCACGACTGTTCATTCATTGACATGTTGAAATTCACATGTGATTTTTGAAGAAAATTAATTTTCAATAAATTCCGTAAGATAAATACAAGATAACACTCATTTAAATCATAAATCACACACTGATGTATGCATCAGTAAAGTATTTTACCATTAACTCACCAAAAGTAATACAAACTCTAGAAAAATATCGAAAACTTTCTAATAATAAGAAATGCTTTCTTGACTTCCGTTCATTAGATGACCATCTGTTGCATTGTGGGAGAAATATATGGCGCGAATTTTGAAAATATTTATTTATGAACTAAGTAATATTTAACAGCTGTGTGTTTTGAAAAACATATTTGTTTCGTTCTTCTACATATGTTTGACGTTGCTCCCAATCATGTTTTTTCTATTGGGAGGTGATCCCGGGAAATTCAACATCTGGAAGGCGGGATAATTGCACTGAACGAAATGCGTGGACTGCAAATTTAAAAATGTCGAAAAATAATACTCCTGAATCTGATTCAAAATTATCTCTATTAGGAGAATGTAACAATAATAAAAACTATGCAGCTATGTGTAAAAATAAGTCAGTGACGTGTATATATAGTAATGAATACATGAGATTGTGCGATACGCTACCAAATGTCATTGGAAGGGTAAGTAAAATATTATGTGGGCGATAATTGAGTCACTACTAGATAGCTCATACAAATTCAGCACTATCAATGGTATACTAAAGGTACCATTGATAGTGCTGACTGTGAGCTCATACATGTACATTCATTCAGGGATTATCTCAGCCCTGTCAACCCTCACGCATTTGCTTGCAAAATAAAAATCACGCATCAATTGTGTATGATCAAATATCCTGCAAATCACGCATTTTGTTGATTTTTGAGTCGGGGCAATCTGCACGCAATTCGGTTTATACTTGGTTCGGTTTTTCATGGATGTGTGACGGGAGCACAATTTTTATATTTATTTATTTTCATTAATTAATTTCATGCTTATTTCTCATATTTTTCATGGAACATTTGACATCGTTAAAAAGAACAGTCTTTTGCCAATATTGTAGTTTTTATTTTATGCAAAAATGTGTTATAGTTTTTGTGTAATATCACTTTAAATAACTAGTGTAAATAGACATGTTTACTGAGTTACCGGCCGACGCGCCATGAATTATTGTAATTTTCAGTTTACTCATGTTTTGTTTGGGTAAATAGCAAGATAACTACAAATTCATTAATTCTGGGATTTATTTGTTAAAACAAGGTTGAATTGCTCTTTTTAACAGTTTTTATTTCATTTAAATTGATGTAATATTTCTTGAGATATCGCCATTTGAAAACATGTATTTTTAGTGAAGTTTTATATTTCTTACGGCATTTAGCCCGACAATTTCACAAACTTTCTCACATAACAATTTGATTGACAGCTCGCTGTAGGTTTATTAAATCTTTGATCTGACAGATATTTTGACAATGTAGCGAGCAATTAAACCCGTTGTTATGGTAGCCTTTCCATATATGGAAAGTTATGTTCCGTTATTTTAATGTTCTCACAATCGTTCTCCGGGACGATCAGTCTCAAGTTGTATCTGAAAGTGATAATACGTATACGAATATTTCGGTATCTGATCAAGTTTTACATAAGATTTGGATTTTAAAGGCTTTGGATTATAATTACGATCATTTGTAACTGGATTTACTAGTATTGGATTTATAATTGGATTTATACTTCGATTACATTCACAGAAATCATCATGTCTTACCAGCCTACAAGGTAAATAAAGTTTATTGTTTATTGTTATAAAGTTTAGTTCATTTCTTTTGTCCAGTTATTTCAATCTCATCAATTAGTAAATTACTCCATCCATTAGAGCGATACAAAATCCTTTCATACACAAGACGAAGCCACAACATCATCTTTCCAGTGCCTTATTTTTAATTAACGGGGTTTCCGCTCGGCCCATTCTTTCCAGTATTTATTATTTTGACCATATTGATTTCATACTGGTGAAAAACATTTCATTTTAAATAACTCCCGCCACACTGTTGGCTTAGCGTTGGGATTTGCAAGATATTTAACGTTATATTTTTGTCATTGTTTTGAGATAATATTTTGCATTTTCTTGTGGTGTTAAAGGCTTGTATTTTTCTCGCAAAATTTTGACGTAACTTGACTGTGCAAACTTGGGACTCACCATTTATAATTCGGGGGGATTCAAGACAAAGTCAACAAATCCTCACTGATGTCATTTCAAATATTTTTTATTACCAGTGCGTTTAAATTGAGTAGTGTAAATCGACACAAATCGGATCTACCTTGAATGCAACTGGGGTGATACTCCTTTCGGAGATGTATAATACTCCTTAGGGTTGGTTTATTTAGAATGCAATGAGGACGGTTTAGTCCGTTAATTGTTGGTTATCTGCATTTGAAAAACTGATTCCTTTGAGAGTTGTCATATATGATTAAAGTGTACAGACTCTTGAGTAAAATTTCTCTAAAGTGCAGTGGGACCAAGTAGTCCAATTTAATTGTGTATCATCTGCACTTGAGGAATTGTTATTTAAGAGTTGTATTGGTATATACTAAATATTATATTGTATTGTGTTTGAAGGTGCCCAGAATTTATATTCTGCGCGGAGCCCATAAAGGGACATTTTTATTTTATTTGCCCAGAATTTATTTTCTGCGCGGAGCTCCATTGAGAGACATTATATTGGGTAATTATTAAAACTCAACCTTGTATTATTAGCCCAGGGTAACACCTGCGCGGAGCTCCTCTGTGAGACGTTTAGTTGAGTAATTTCTGAACCCAATATTGTATATTTTAGCCCAGGAGAAATCCTGCGCGAAGCTCAGACTGGAAAATTTATTTACCGTTCGGAGCAATACTCATTGATAATATTAGCCCAGGAGCAATCCTGCGCGGAGCCCTAAAGGGACATTTATTGATTTGCATACCACATTGTGTTATTACAATATTGCCCAGGTTAATTCCTGCGCGGAGCTCTTTATGAGACATTTTTGAAAATATTGTGAGTACAACTATTTCTGTGAATTGCCCAGGTTTACTCCTGCGCGGAGCCTCTGAGAAGGACATATATTTTATCTTGATAGAGTTTGCTCTCAATGAAATTGAAATTTATGAAAATTTTTGATCACTATGGAGTAGTCAATGTGTTGAGTTGTCTGTGAAGTGAACACTGAACAGGGAGGGGACAATGTAATGATGTGTTCATGGAGTCTCCACTGAAAGGGTGTACATTCAATTGTGCATTCCTTCCTCCGCTCTTATGGTGATCTTGAATTTTTGTTTGCAATTTTTGAGAGTTTGCTCATTCATGATAGAATCATAAACACAGAATAGAATCATTACTCATTAATATGGCATCTGACCGAGATTCTGATCAGATGGATTTAACACAATGTGCGGACAGCGCTCGCACGAGCCCAGATAATACTGTTTTTATAAAAGGGGATAATAAAGAAATAGATAATCCCTTGGCCTCAGATAACACTGTTGTGTGGCAGAATGAAATGCGCCTTGCTCCAGGGCCTGGTGCTATTTCGAAAAATTTAGAATCTGCCAGAGTGCCAAAAAGTACAGGCTATTGGTCACGGGAGAATGATTCATTGTTCAGTCCCGTAAATGAGCACTCCAATGAGGAAATAAAGCCTGCTCCTCGAACATCCACAGCGATGCGTTCCTCAGAAGTTGAAAATGCTAAATCAATGAGTGAACAAATTGGCTATTTGTGGAGTAATATTGAGCTCATAAACCATAAATTTGATAAAATTGATACCAAGTTGGATGTGAGTGCTCTTGAGAGAAATGTTTCCATGGCAGTGACTCAAGCGTTGGTCCCTGTTCTGAAAACAGGTGTTACTTCAGCAGTTGCTGATGCAATGGCGCCAGTAATAGAAATGAGTCAAAATCAAAATTTAGCCATGCAAGAGCAAATGAATGCAAGTCTCTCCCAACAGAAATCTGAATTGCTCCAACTGATAAAAAATAAGTCTGTAAGGGAAGAGCAAACTTCACATGAAGTGAAGTTATCAAATATGCATGATAATGAAAAATCTCATGTGGAGCAACGAAGAGGAGTTTCTAAGAGGAAAGAGTGCGCTCTTTCTCCTCCTCCTCGGCCATATGCTCTAAAAAGACAGAGCGCATTTTATCAGCCTCATTCTCATAGAGAAAATGAGTTGCTTGCTCCTGAGCAAAAAGTACCTGCTAGTGTATACGCTCAGCCAGGTGAGAGAAATGTTATGTTTGCTCCTCCTAATACGCCAACTTCTGAGCGAAGTGAATTGTATAGGAGTGGAGTTCAGAGTAGCTCAGACTCTGGAGCAAGCAGAAGTGCTGCTCATGAGGAGTACACTCCTCCTCTTACTATGGATAATGAGCATTCTCTCAACAATCAAGGAGTCCAGAGTAGCTCAGATTCTGGAGCAAGCCGGAGTGTTGCTCATGAGAAGTACACTCCTCCTCTTGCAATGAAAAATGAGCAACATTATGAGCAAGATGAGCGCTCCAGTAGATATTTTGAAAATGTTCATGATTTAACTCATTCTCTCCAAAATGCTCAAGGAGAAAAGAGAAGCTCTTCTTTTATGAATGAGCGTAAAAAGAAACATGAGCAAGATAATGATGAATTTACCTCATATAACTCTCAAAGAGAGGCCTATGGCTCCTCTTATATGATGAACGCATTTAGAGATGTTACTCAAACACTCTCAGATGTGGTAAAATCTGTATCATTCAGGCAAAATAATGATAAGGCTGTGAAAATCAGACCTGATAAATATGAGGGTACATCCCCATGGCTAGATTATGTGAGACACTTTGAAGTGTGCTCCTCCTCCAATAGATGGAGTGATATTGAAAAACGAGATTTTCTAGCTTCTAGCTTACGTGGCCAAGCTCAACAAATCTTGAATGAGGTTGAATTAGAGTACACCTATCAAGATTTGGTTAATGCATTGAGTAAACGATTTGGCCCTGAGGGTAAAGCAAAATTGTACGAGGCTCAAATTAATAATCGCCAACAAAGACCTCGTGAGCCTATGCAAAAACTGGCACAAGATATAAGAAGGCTTACAGCCTTAGCCTACCCTGAAATGACACGAGAGGCCCAAGATAGGTTGGCTCGCGCTCGGTTCCAGCATGCCTTACTGGATGATCAAATCCGAGATGCAATTAATTTAGGGGAGCCAGAGACTCTAGATAGAGCAGTTGTAATTGCTCTAAAACAAGAGTCGTATCTCGAGTCAGAGAGAATCAGGAAGGGTCAAAAACCTAGGCTCCAGACAGATAAAATATCTGCAATTGATGAAAGGCTTGAATCTGATGATTCAGCTGAAATAAATGCTCTTAATGAAACTGAGAAATTAGAGCAAATTATGACTAAATTATTGACAGCGCAAGCAACTGCTCTGGATGATAGGTTTGAAAAAATGTTGACTGAATTAAAGAAAATGTCAGCACGAAAACCCAAAGCTGAAGTTACTTGTTTCCATTGTGGGAAGAAAGGCCATTATAATTTTGAATGTCGTTTTCGAAAGGAAAACGGAGGAAAGAAAAACTCCTCTGAAATTGCTCCTATCAGCTTTGTTGAGTCAGAAACTCCTAATGAAATAAAGCGCATAGTCGCAAAAGCTGAGGTGTGTGGCCACCCAGTGGAGTTTTTAGTTGATACAGGTGCAGTGAGAACTATGTTAGATATTGAAGAGTACAATGATATACCAGTTGAAAATAGGCCGAGTCTGCACAAAACCAACTGTGCATTTAGACAGGCCGATGGCTCCTCTTTATGTGTGCATGGAGTAATTGATTGCTCCATTGATCTAGATGGCACAATATTTGATGCGCCAGTCATTGTAGCTAGTTTAGGAGCACCTGGTATACTTGGCTCAGATTGTATGTCTAAACAGGGATTCAATATTAACTACCACTCCAGAGAATTGGCATTTAAGCCATCCTCTGATTGCTATGGGAATGTCATGAATAATATAACCCCAGTCTGTGTGGTAGGTGAGGATGGAAATTCCTTGCGAAATACTGGTACATGTACTCCTCAGGAGCCAAATACTCTCATTTCAGATGAGAGAGACTCTGACGGGTCTATGGATATTGATGATTATATAAAATACCATTCACACAAAGTGATGGATACATCCTCTTGCGAAAACAAGAGGGAGGATATAAGTTCAGAGCGAAACCCTCCACTCATTAATTCCTCCGAACATGAGGAAAATTACTTTACTGAAATGAGTGATGAGAGCTCTGATCATGGGAGCAATATTGAATCTCTTAATCCTCAATCTCCTGGTGTTAACAGTAGAGAGCTAGAGGAGGAGGTTCAGAATGGCTCTGGAGGTATGCCAGATTTCGTACAATGCCTCTCATTAAACTGCTCCATAAAAGAGGATGATGAAATACCAGCAATCTCTGGTAAAATAGTGGAGCTATGTTTTGATAAAACAGAGTCACGTCATACATCTGAGTTCATAAACCAGCCTGGCATTGTAGAGCCATTAGCCAAGAGTCCAGAGGAATTGACAGGTCTGGTGGTAAATCCCACATTTATCTCCTCCAAGCAAGATTTGAGAGTAGAGATTTGGAATCCTCTGGCTATACCTGTTCCTATTTCAGCAGGAACTGTCATTGGTACATTTGGCTATGTAGATTCAGATGTTTGTGTGGTGAGTGCTGCGCCACATGAGCAGATTTATAGTGCTCAAAATTCTGACACTATATCTGATGAAGAGAGCACAGAATATGATAATATAACATTGGCTTCTGAAATACCTGCTCATTTGAGAGATCTCTTTCAAAACAGTTCGAAAGAACTTAATGAGGAGCAGAGATTAGAGCTCATGAGACTCTTGGTGAAAAATCAAGATGTTTTCTCTCGTAATGATAGAGACTTAGGATGTACTGATATTGTACTCCATCGTATAAACACAGGCGATGCTGACCCAGTAAGGCAAGTCTATAGAAGAATGCCTAAGGTCAAGCAAGATGAAGTAGATCGCCAGGTGAATGATCTCCTTGATCGAGGAGTAATTGAGCCATCTGAGAGCCCATGGGCTTCTCCTGTAGTCCTTGTCAAAAAGAAGGATGGTTCATGGCGTCTGTGCATTGATTATCGGAGGCTTAATTTGGTTACAAAGAAAGACGCATTTCCAATCCCTCGTATTGATGAAACACTCGAGAGGATGAATGGAGCCTCCTGGTTTAGCACCATGGATTTAGCATCCGGGTATTGGCAACTTGCACTTGATCAAGAGGCAAAAGAGAAATCTGCTTTTGTAGTGAGAGGAGGACTGTATCAATGGGCTAATATGCCATTTGGTCTATGTAACGCTCCCTCCACTTTTGTGCGCCTCATGGAGCAAGTTCTTAAGGGCATGAGCAACTCATTAGCGTATCTCGATGATGTAATTAGTTTTGCCTCTTCTTTTGATACAGCTATTGAGCGCCTACAATTGGTGTTTGACCGATTTAGAGCTGCCAATTTAAAATTGAAGCCCAACAAATGTGAGTTATTAAAAAGGAGTGTGAGGTTTTTGGGCCATGTGGTGTCGGAGAGAGGTATTGCTCCTGACCCTGAAAAGGTAGATAAAATTGTTAATTGGCCCACACTCCGAACAGTGCATGAGACCCGACAGTTTCTAGGCCTAGCCTCTTACTATAGGAGACATGTCAGGGGTTTTGCCGAGGTGGCTGGGCCATTGCATCAGCTCACTCACAAAAATAGACAGAAATTTGAATGGTCAGAGGAATGTATTGAGTCTTTCCAGACTCTTAAAACATCCATAGCAAATGCGACCATTCTATCATATCCTCATGAGGAGGGTGAGTACATATTAGACACTGATGCAAGCGCAACCTCGATTGGTGCAGTACTCTCCCAAATTCAAGGAGGAGAGGAGCAGCCTTTGCATTTTGCAAGTAAGTGTCTTTCTCGACATGAGCGCAATTATTGCACTACTAAGCGAGAGCTTCTTGCTGTTGTGAATTACCTGAAATATTTCCGACAGTATCTGTATGGAGTTAAGTTCAGGTTGCGAACAGATCATTCATCTCTTCGCTGGCTCACTAATTTTAAAGAGCCTGAAGGGCAATTGGCCCGATGGTTCGAGGTCATAGCAGAGTATGATTTTATCCTAGAGCACCGACCTGGGAAACGGCATTTGAACGCCGATGCTATGTCTCGTATACCCTGCAGGCAATGTGAAAGAGCGGAGCAGAAAGATGCTCTTAAAGAAGGCTCTCCATTTAATGAGTTTGTACAACCTGTATGTGGGTATCTCCGAGATTATTCAGAGCAAAAGAGTAGCTCTGTTCATACTCAGGTTGAGATAGATAAAATCCCTGAGGAGAACTCGGAGGAGCCTCAAGGCTCAATACATAGTGTAGCCTTTATCCCTGAGTGGACATTATTTGATATTAGCGAAGCTCAATGCTTAGATCCTCATGTCAAGATCATATGGCATGCTTTGAAAAAGTCTCCTACTAGACCCTCTTGGGAGATCATAAGCAATGGATCTGCAATAACAAAAACCTATTGGGCACAATGGGACCAGTTAATGATACAAAATGGTGTTTTGTGTCGAAAGTGGGAGAACACTGAGGGTACTAAATTTCACTTGCAGATTATAACTCCCAAAGTTTTACAGAAAACAGTCTTACATTTTGCTCACTCAACTGCGTCAGCAGGTCATTTTGGAGTGACAAAGACTTATGAGAAGACTCGGCTTAGATTTTACTGGCATGGTCAGCACAGTGATGTACGGTCTTTTTGCCGAGCCTGTAATACATGTGCTGCCAGAAAGAATCCTCCTAAGAAAAATAAAGCTCCATTACAACAATACATTGTTGGAGAGCCAATGGAGAGATTTGCCATTGATATACTTGGCCCTTTCCCTATCACCAGGAGAGGAAATAGATTTGTGTTAGTCTGTTCAGACTACTTCACAAAATGGCCAGAGGCTTTTCCAGTGCCCACTCAGGAGGCAATTACGGTTGCCTCGAAGCTGGTGGAAGAAGTTTTCTCCAGATTTGGACTTCCCATGGAACTCCATAGTGATCAGGGGAGGAACTTCGAATCCAAGGTAATGGCAGAGGTGTGCCGTATCTTTGGAGTAACAAAGACGCGCACTACTCCTTTCAACCCAAAAAGTGATGGGTTAGTTGAAAGGTTTAATAGAACCCTGCTTGATGGCATTTCTAAATTAATGGAGGATGATTCTGATCAATTAGATTGGGATTTAAAGATTCCTCTCATTCTCATGGCCTATAGAACAGCCGAGCAAGAG